CTGGCTTATTCATGTCACATGATACCTTAGGTCTGGAAACCAAGTGTTAACACTTGATGATGACCTTTAGGAGAGCACAAGCAGGATAGGGTGTGGCTTGTGTGGGATATAATGATTTTAAGACGAGCTATGTAATGAGTGACCTTCACCAGACAATAGCGTGACCTTCACCAGACAATAGCGTGACCTTCACCCGACAATAGCGTGACCTACACCCGACAATAGCGTGACCTACACACACAATGTAAACACATACTATGAAGCATTTTGTCTGTTTGCCACATATACTGATGAACTGTTCCATTCCTCAAACACACACTGTATAAAATGTTCATTTCATGAACATGGATCAACTTCCTTGTGCTTATGAAAAAGAATACGTGGGAGATAATATCATCAGCAACATGTTTTTCCGCAATGTGCATTGTGTACATACTGTGCCCTATCTAGTTAGTGACTTGCAATCTGTGTTACTTCATGTGCACGCATATAAAAATTGACGAGGAAGTAGTTTCTATTTTGATTGAAAAAAGTGATCATTAAAAAACACTTTTTATTTTTTGACCACTGTAACTACCAACAATAAAATAGGCACTGCTGTTTAATACAAAGGCAGTTGTCAAGAATGTCTTTTCGTCAATATCTTAGTGTGCATCTGACATTTCAGGTGTGTTATTCACAGTAAAACTTATTAATGTGCAAAACATTTATAGTAACATGCTGGTGACTGAAGAATGTTTCATTCTCTTTTCAGCTCAGCATGCTAAATAATGTGTACAGTAGTTTGCTGGTATAGGCCCATTGGCCTGTCTGATTCATGTAATAACAGTTTGGGAGTGAGGGATTCCATCTCAGTCATAAAAAAAATTGAGAGCCAAGATATTTGCCCAGTTAGCAACTACAACCAATCATATTCACACATGGTCTTTTGTTCTTTTGCTCTTGTTACCATAGTGATTGGAGATGCAGTGGTACTGACACTCCCCCTAACAGATTCAGCAGTGGTTCTGAAAGTGGCATGAAACCCAACTCCCTCACTCACTCTCAACAGGTGTGCGAAATAGTTTCCAAATTTTGCTAGCCAGACCGGCTAGCTGTGCCTGAAAGTTACTAACCCACAAAGTTATTCACTGGCCCAAAATTTGAATGTAGACATGGCTTCATCATTAAGCTGCTAATACAATGAGCATTCATATAAGGCCATAATCTTGCATGATTTAAAAGTGTATTATAACTTAACAAGTCGGAGAGAGTGATATACATGTATTTACAAAATGACCCCATGAAAAGTCACTAGCCATTCGGGCAAGTGACTGTTGAGATTTACTGGCCCGACTGGATTTTTACTAGCCATGGGCTAGCAGGCCAGTGGCTATTTCAAACACTGGTTGCATTATTGCTGAAGGTTGGCCGAAACGCAATTCACTGTTAATGTATTCGTGTTGCTGACCTCGGCAGCCAACGCAACTCACTGTTAATGTATTCGTGTTGCTGACATTGGCAGCCAACGCAACTCACTCTGTTAATATATTCGCGTTGCTGACATTGGCAGCCAGTGCAACTCACTGTTAATAATTTCGCGTTGCTGACATTGGCAGCCAGCGCAACTCACTGTTAATATATCCGCGTTGCTGACATTGGCAGCCAGTGCAACTCACTGTTAATATATTCGCGTTGCTGACATTGGCAGCCAGCGCAACTCACTGTTAATATATTCGCGTTGCTGACATTGGCAGCCAGCGCAACTCACTGTTAATATAATCGCGTTGCTGACATTGGCATCCAACGGAACTCACTGTTAATATGTTTGTGTTGCTGACATTGGCAGCCAGCGCAACTCACTGTTAATATATTTCTGTTGCTGACCTTGGCATCCAACTCAACGCAACTCAAAGTTAATATATTTCTGTTGCTGACATTGGCAGCCAGTGCAACTCACTGTTAATATATTCGCGTTGCTGACATTGGCAGCCAGCGCAACTCACTGTTAATATAATCGCGTTGCTGACATTGGCAGCCAGCGCAACTCACTGTTAATATAATCGCGTTGCTGACATTGGCAGCCAGCGCAAGTCACTGTTAATATATTCGCGTTGCTGACATTGGCAGCCAGCGCAACTCACTGTTAATATAATCGCGTTGCTGACATTGGCATCCAACGGAACTCACTGTTAATATATTTGTGTTGCTGACATTGGCAGCCAGCGCAACTCACTGTTAATATATTTCTGTTGCTGACCTTGACATCAAACTCAACGCAACTCACTGCTAATATATTTGTGTTGCTGACATTGGCAGCCAGTGCAACTCACTGTTAATATATTCGCGTTGCTGACATTGGCAGCCAGCGCAACTCACTGTTAATATAATCGCGTTGCTGACATTGGCATCCAACGGAACTCACTGTTAATATATTTGTGTTGCTGACATTGGCAGCCAGCGCAACTCACTGTTAATATATTTGTGTTGCTGACATTGGCAGCCAGCGCAACTCACTGTTAATATATTTGTGTTGCTGACATTGGCAGCCAGCGCAACTCACTGTTAATATATTCGCGTTGCTGACATTGGCAGCCAGTGCAACTCACTGTTAATAATTTCGTGTTGCTGACATTGGCAGCCAGCGCAACTCACTCTGTTAATATATTTGTGTTGCTGACATTGGCAGCCAGCGCAACTCACTCTGTTAATATATTCGCGTTGCTGACATTGGCAGCCAGTGCAACTCACTGTTAATAATTTCGCGTTGCTGACATTGGCAGCCAGCGCAACTCACTGTTAATATATCCGCGTTGCTGACATTGGCAGCCAGTGCAACTCACTGTTAATATATTCGCGTTGCTGACATTGGCAGCCAGCGCAACTCACTGTTAATATGTTTGTGTTGCTGACATTTGCAGCCAGCGCAACTCACTGTTAATATATTTCTGTTGCTGACCTTGGCATCCAACTCAACGCAACTCACTGTTAATATATTTGTGTTGCTGACATTGGCAGCCAGCGCAACTCACTGTTAATATATTCACGTTGCTGACATTGGCAGCCAGCGCAACTCACTGTTAATATAATCGCGTTGCTGACATTGGCAGCCAGCGCAACTCACTGTTAATATAATCGCGTTGCTGACATTGGCAGCCAGCGCAAGTCACTGTTAATATAATCGCGTTGCTGACATTGGCATCCAACGGAACTCAAAGTTAATATATTTGTGTTGCTGACATTGGCAGCCAGCGCAACTCACTGTAAATATATTTCTGTTGCTGACCTTGGCATCCAACTCAACGCAACTGTGACTGTTAATATATTTGTGTTGCTGACATTGGCAGCCAACGCAACTCACTGTTAATATATTCGCGTTGCTGACATTGGCAGCCAGCGCAACTCACTGTTAATATAATCGCATTGCTGACATTGGCATCCAACGGTACTCACTGTTAATATATTTGTGTTGCTGACATTGGCAGCCAGCGCAACTCACTGTTAATATATTTGTGTTGCTGACATTGGCAGCCAGCGCAACTCACTGTTAATATATTTGTGCTGCTGACATTGGCAGCCAGCGCAACTCACTGTTAATATATTCGCGTTGCTGACATTGGCAGCCAGTGCAACTCACTGTTAATAATTTCGTGTTGCTGACATTGGCAGCCAGCGCAACTCACTGTTAATATATCCGCGTTGCTGACATTGGCAGCCAGTGCAACTCACTGTTAATATATTCACGTTGCTGACATTGGCAGCCAGCGCAACTCACTGTTAATATGTTTGTGTTGCTGACATTGGCAGCCAGCGCAACTCACTGTTAATATATTTCTGTTGCTGACCTTGGCATCCAACTCAACGCAACTCGCTGTTAATATATTCGCGTTGCTGACATTGGCAGCCAGCGCAACTCACTGTTAATATAATCGCGTTGCTGACATTGGCAGCCAGCGCAACTCACTGTTAATATAATCGCGTTGCTGACATTGGCAGCCAGCGCAACTCACTGTTAATATATTCGCGTTGCTGACATTGGCAGCCAGCGCAACTCACTGTTGATATAATCGCGTTGCTGACATTGGCATCCAACGGAACTCACTGTTAATATATTTGTGTTGCTGACATTGGCAGCCAGCGCAACTCACTGTAAATATATTTCTGTTGCTGACCTTGGCATCCAACTCAACGCAACTGTGACTGTTAATATATTTGTGTTGCTGACATTGGCAGCCAGCGCAACTCACTGTTAATATATTTGTGTTGCTGACCTTGGCAGCCAGCGCAACTCACTGTTAATATATTTGTGTTGCTGACATTGGCAGCCAGCGCAACTCACTGTTAATATATTTGTGTTGCTGACATTGGCAGCCAACGCAACTCACTGTTAATATATTTGTGTTGCTGACATTGGCAGCCAGCGCAACTCACTGTTAATATATTTGTGTTGCTGACATTGGCAGCCAGCTAACTCACTGTTAATATATTTGTGTTGCTGACATTGGCAGCCAACGCAACTCACTGTTAATATATTTGTGTTGCTGACATTGGCAGCCAGCGCAACTCACTGTTAATATATTTGTGTTGCTGACATTGGCAGCCAGCGCAACTCACTGTTAATATATTTGTGTTGCTGACATTGGCAGCCAGCTTAAACTCACTGTTAATATATTTGTGTTGCTGACATTGGCAGCCAACGGAACTCACTGTTAATATATTTGCGTTGCTGACATTGGCAGCCAGCGCAACTCACTGTTAATATATTTGTGTTGCTGACATTGGCAGCCAGCGCAACTCACTGTTAATATATTTGTGTTGCTGACATTGGCAGCCAACGGAACTCACTGTTAATATATTTGCGTTGCTGACATTGGCAGCCAGCGCAACTCACTGTTAATATATTTGTGTTGCTGACATTGGCAGCCAGCGCAACTCAACTGACCTCTCTGATCTGTTGTATTGAAGGAGGGTAAGTGATGTTAAATCCTATTTTACGATGTGTGATATTTTCCAACTTCCAGTCTGAAGGCAGCGTGGAAGCTGTGCGTTTCAACGACATTGAGGATCTGATCCAGGGCTACATGGTCAGGGGGGATCAGAATGGTCTGGTGTGTGCCCTACGGAAGCCGGTACCAACAGATCGGCCTGAGACTGGAGAACCAGAGTCAGGTATGTAGTCAGTCCTTGTACAAGCTCTGGTCTTGTAAGGTCATATCATGGAGTCATATCATGGGGACATATCATGGGGTCGTCGCATGGGGACATATCATGGGGTCATCGCATGGGGACATATCATGGGGTCATATCATTAAGACATATTATGGGGTCATCTCATGGGGACATGGGGTCATCGCGTGGGGACATATATTGGGGTCAAATCATGGGGACACATCATGGAGTCATATCATGGGGACATCTCATGGGGTCATCACATGGGGTCATCTCTTTGGGTGAAACAAGCAATTACTTAATTGTCTGGGATGTAACAGCTTCCTGATATAACAAATTGCCTGGGATAAAATGACCAATGTATGATATAACAAATTGTGTGGGATATAACAACTATCTATGATATAACAAATTGTGTGGATATAACAACTATCTATGATATAACAAATTGTGTGGATATAACAACTATCTATGATATAACAAATTGTGTGGGATATAACAACTATCTATGATATAACAAATTGTGTGGGATATAACAACTATCTATGATGTAACAAATTGTCTGGATATAACAACTAGCTATGAATATAGCAAATTGCCTGGGATATAACAACTATCTATGATATAACAAATTGTCTGGATATAACAACTATCTATGATATAACAAATTGCCTGGGATATAACAACTATCTATGATATAACAAATTGTGTGGGATATAACAACTATCTTTGATATAACAAATTGTCTGGATATAACAACTATCTTTGATATAACAAATTGCCTGGGATATAACAACTATCTATGATATAACAAATTGTCTGGATATAATAACTATCTATGATATAACAAATTGTGTGGGATATAACAACAGTCTATGATATAACAAATTGTGTGGGATATAACAACTATCTATGATGTAACAAATTGCCTGGGATATAACAACTATCTATGATATAACAAATTGCCTGGGATATAACAACTATCTATGATATTACAAATTGCCTGGGATATAACAACTGTCTATGATGTATCGAATTGCCTGGAATATAACAACTGTCTATGATGTATCGAATTGCCTGGGATATAACAACTATCTATGATGTAACAAATTGCCTGGGATATAACAACTATCTATGATATTACAAATTGCCTGGGGTATAACAACTATCTATGATATTACAAATTGCCTGGGATATAACAACTATCTATGATATTACAAATTGCCTGGGATATAACAACTATATAGATGTATCGAATTGCCTGGGATATAACAACTATCTATGATATAACAAATTGCCTGGGGTATAACAACTATCTATGATGTATCGAATTGCCTGGGGTATAACAACTATCTATGATGTATCGAATTGCCTGGGGTATAACAACTATCTATGATGTATCGAATTGCCTGGGATATAACAACTATCTATGATATAACAAATTGCCTGGGGTATAACAACTATCTATGATGTATCGAATTGCCTGGGGTATAACAACTATCTATGATGTATCGAATTGCCTGGGGTATAACAACTATCTATGATGTATCGAATTGCCTGGGATATAACAACTATCTATGATGTATCGAATTGCCTGGGATATATCACTATGTATGATATTACAAATTGCCTGGGATATAACAACTATCTATGATATAACAAATTGCCTGGGGTATAACAACTATCTATGATGTATCGAATTGCCTGGAATATAACAACTATCTATGATATTACAAATTGCCTGGGATATAACAACTATCTATGATATTACAAATTGCCTGGGGTATAAGAACTATCTATGATATAACAAATTGCCTGGGATATAACAACTATCTATGATGTATAGAATTGCCTGGAATATAACAACTATCTATGATATTAGAAATTGCCTGGGGTATAACAACTATCTATGATGTATCGAATTGCCTGGGATATAACAACTATCTATGATATAACAAATTGTCTGGATATAACAACTATCTATGATATAAGAAATTGCCTGGGATACAACAACTGTCTATGATATAACAAATTGCCTGGGATATAACAACTGTCTATGATATAACAAATTGCCTGGGGTATAACAACTATCTATGATATAACAAATTGCCTGGGATATAACAACTATCTATGATATAACAAATTGCTTGGGGTATAACAACTATCTATGATATAACAAATTGCCTGGGATATAACAACTGTCTATGATATTACAAATTGCCTGGGGTATAACAACTATCTATGATATAACAAATTGCCTGGGATATAACAACTATCTATGATATAACAAATTGCCTGGGATATAACAACTGTCTATGATGTATCGTATTGCCTGGAATATAACAACTGTCTATGCTATAACAAATTGTCTGGGATATAACAACTATGATATTACAAATTGTCTGGGATATAACAACTATCTATGATATTACAAATTGCCTGGGATATAACAACTGTCTATGATATAACAAATTGTCTGGGATATAACAACTGTCTATGATATAACAAATTGTCTGGGATATAACAACTATCTATGCTATAACAAATAGTCTGGATATAACAACTATCTATGATATAACAAATAGTCTGGATATAACAACTATCTATGATATAACATATTGTCTGGGATATAACAACATATCATTGGGTTTGAAGCTGACCTTATAGCCCGTGATCTTGAGTTGTCCATATCTGAACACATCAATAAAAGTGGTAGTCAAATCAACAGGAGAAAACTGTCACAGACAACTGGCTTGTCTGATTCGTCTGTACTGACAGACAAGCTGACATTACCATGACTGTTCCATGGACTAGTGGTCTACAGACTAGAGACACATCCAGGCTCGAATCTCCCTCCCAGGACCAAACATACAGCTGCCATTCTGGCTTGGTGATATTTGTTCACCAGTCGTACATGCAGGCTGAATTTGTTCTCAAACTTTTTACACTGAAATATTTATGAGGTCTGCCAACTTTTAGCGGAGTGGATGTTGCTTTATGAATAATTAAACTTCTTTTGCTGCAACATCAGCGTGTATTTAATGTGCTGTTTGGTGATTGATCTGGCGTTTTGTTACCTCAGAAGGTTAATATTCTTGACATTATGTATTACATCATTTCCATAAAATCTTCTTTCAAAGTTGGCATTTGTTGGATCTATTTTTGAAATGGAAATGTTTTTTGACAGAATAATTTGCATCAGCTATGAATTAGTCAGTCAGGGGCACCTGATTGCTAAGTAGGCGGATGAGAGATTTCTCGTGTATATTTAATGCTGATACTTGCAATTGTTCCCTTGTTTTAAGGATTGTTGTCTAATGTCACCAAGTTATGACAATATTGTCTAATGTCACCAAGTTATGATGATGCTGTCTAATGTCACCAATTGCAAGTTATGAAACTGTCTAATGTCACCAAGTTATGATACTGACTAATGTCACCAATGTATGATACTGTCTAATGTCACCAAGTTATGATACTGTCTAATGTCACCAAGTTATGACAATATTGTCTAATGTCACCAAGTTATGATGATGCTGTCTAATGTCACCAATTGCAAGTTATGAAACTGTCTAATGTCACCAAGTTATGATGCTGTCTAATGTCACCAAGTTATGATACGATACTGTCTAATGTCACCAAGTTATGATAATGTCTAATGTCACCAAGTTATGACAATATTGTCTAATGTCACCAAGTTATGACAATATTGTCTAATGTCACCAAGTTATGATGATGCTGTCTAATGTCACCAAGTTATGATGATGCTGTTTAATGTCACCAGGTTATGATGGTACTGTCTAATGTCACCAAGTTAGGATGGTACTGTCTAATGTCACCAAGTCATGATAATGTCTAATGTAACCAAGTTATGATGGTATTTTGTAATGTCACCAAGTTATGATGGTATTTTGTAATGTCACCAAGTTATGATATTGTCTAATGTCACCAAGTTATGATATGTTATTACTGTCTGGTATATAACATGTTATGCTATTGCTGTCTGGTATATAACATGTTATGTTATTACTGTCGATATAACATGTTATGATATTGCTGTCTGGTATATAACATGTTGTGTTATTACTGTCTGGCATATAACATGTCATGCTATTGTAGTCTGGTATATAACATTGTGCTATTGTCTGGTATATAACATGTTATATTATTAGTCTGGTATATAACATGTTATGTTATTACTGTCTGGTATATAACTTTTTGCTATTACTATCTGGTATATAACATGTTATGTTATTACTGTCTGATATATATCATGTTATGCTATTACTGTTTGATATATAACATTTTGCTATTACTATCTGGTATATAACAATGTTATGTTATTACTGTCTGGTATATAACAATGTTATGCTATTACTGTCTGGTATATAACATGTTATGCTATTACTGTCTGGTATATAACATGTTATGCTATTACTGTATGGTATATAACATGTTATGCTATTACTATCTGGTATATAACAATGTTATGCTATTACTGTCTGGTATATAACAATGTTATGCTATTACTGTCTGGTATATAACATATGCTATTACTGTCTGGTATATAACAATGTTATGTTATTACTGTCTGGTATATAATATGTTATGTTATTACTGTCTGACATGTAACATGTTATGTTATTACTGTCAGGTATATAACATGTTATATTATTACTGTCTGGTATATAACATGCTATGTTATTACTGTCTGGCATATAACATGTCATGTTATTACTGTCAGGTATATAACATGTTATGTTATTGCTGTCTGATATATATCATGTTATGCTATTGCTGTCTTGTATGTAACATGTTAGGCTATAACTGTCTGGCATATAACATGTTATGTTATTACTGTCAGGTATAAAACATGTTATGCTATTACTGTCTGGTATATAACATGTTATGCTATTACTGTCAGGTATAAAACATGTTATGCTATTACTGTCAGGTATATAACATGTTATGCTATTACTGTCAGGTATATCACATGTTATGTTATTACTGTCTGGTATATAACATGTTATTCTATTACTGTCTGGTATATAACACCAGAAATGGGCTTCACACATTGTGCCCATGTGGGGTCTGGTTTGTAACATGTTAATCCGTGTGAAACACGTTATGCTTGTGACTCGGACTAGCTTGTCTGACACTGAGTAGCCCAGTTGACTAACCAGGATGATGTTTATGTTTCCAGATGAAGAAGAGATACTTGATGGCTTCTGTGTTCCGTCCGCTCCGTATCTCCCAGAGGAGGTCGCTAGCAGCAGCGACAGACATGTCACAAAAACTTTCAAATATGGCTTCCTCAGCAACTTCGCAAGACTGGATCTTTCCTGGTAATGTCCGTGTGGGTTAGAGTTTGGGTTCTAATCCCGAATGGGACTCAACCCAAAAAAGTACTTGTTCTTTACTAAGAAAGTGTTGTCCCAAATATTTCATTTGTTACTAGACAAACATAGTTGAGTCACGGATATGCTCCATCTTGGGTTGTATGTCTAAATTTAAAAGTTTGCCTTCTTCACTCATTTTCCCTCATTGATCATGCTGATGTATTTCGCTTTGTCAGAAGTCACTTGCAAGTGTACAAAAGACTAAGAAGCTTTGATAACTAGAATCACCAGCATTATCTTAACATGTTATCTGAAACATCTGATACCTAGAATCAGCAACATTGTCTTCCCATGTTGATTGAAACTTATGATAACTAGAATCAGCAACATTGTCTTCCCATGCAGATTGATACCTGTGATTTCTAGAGACAGTAACATTGTCACCCCATGTTTATTGATACTTCTGATTTCTAGAGGCAATATCATTGTCACCCCATGTTTATTGATACCTGTAATTTCTAGAGACAGTAACATTGTCACCCCATGTTTATTGATACCTGTGATTTCTAGAATCAGCAACATTGTCACCCCATGTTTATTGATACCTCTAATTTCTAGAGACAGTATCATTGTCACCCCATGTTTATTGATACCTGTGATAACTAGCTCTGCTCAGCAACACATGCCATTGTTTGTGTTGACAGCTGTGATGGAGAGTTTGTCGATGGCATCAAGAAGTACATTGACAGTGGAATGGAGAAGGACTCCTCTCTCTACCGAGCTGGGGACGACATGATGCCTGAGTTCCAACAGCTTTTGGAGATTGCTGGCAAAGGTCTACAAAGGTCAGTCATTGTCTAGATTGCAGGCAAAGGTCTACAGAGATCAGTCATTGTCTAGATTGCTGGCAAAGGTCTACAGAGGTCAGTCATTGTCTAGATTGCAGGCAAAGGTCTACAGAGGTCAGTCATTGTCTAGATTGCAGGCAAAGGTCTACAGAGGTCAGTCATTGTCTAGATTGCTGGCAAAGGTCTACAGAGGTCAGTCATTGTCTAGATTGCAGGCAAAGGTCTACAGAGGTCAGTCATTGTCTGGATTGCTGGCAAAGGTCTACAGAGGTCAGTCATTGTCTAGATTGCTGGCAAAGGGCTACAGAGGTCAGTCATTGTCTAGATTGCTGGCAAAGGGCTACAGAGGTCAGTCATTGTCTATATTTGCTGGCAAAGGGCTACAGAGGTCAGTCATTGTCTAGATTGCAGGCAAAGGTCTACAGAGGTCAGTCATTGTCTAGATTGCTGGCAAAGGTCTACAGAGGTCAGTCATTGTCTAGATTGCTGGCAAAGGGCTACAGAGATCAGTCATTGTCTAGATTGCTGGCAAAGGGCTACAGAGGTCAGTCATTGTCTAGATTGCTGGCAAAGGGCTACAGAGGTCAGTCATTGTCTAGATTGCTGGCAAAGGTCTACAGAGGTCAGTCATTGTCTACATTGCTGGCATAGGTCTACAGAGGTCAGTCATTGTCTAGATTGCTGGCAAAGGTCTACAGAGGTCAGTCATTGTCTAGATTGCTGGCAAAGGTCTACAGAGGTCAGTCATTGTCTAGATTGCTGGCAAAGGTCTACAGAGGTCAGTCATTGTCTGTTGTAGAGGTTAGTCATTGTCTGTTCTGAAGGTCAGTCATTGTCTGTTCTGAAGGTCAGTCATTGTCTGTTCTGAAGGTCAGTTATTGTCTGTTGAAGAGGTCAGTCATTGTCTGTTCTAGAGGTCCGTCATTGTCTGTTGTGTAAGTTAGTCATTGTCTGTTCTGAAGGTCAGTCATTGTCTGTCGTAGAAGTCAGTCATTGTCTGTTCTTTAGGTCAGTCATTGTCTGTTCTTTAGGTCAGTCATTGTCTGTTCTGAAGTTCAGTCATTGTCTGTTCTAGAGGTCAGTCATTGTCTGTTCTGAAGGTTGGTCATTGTCTGTTCTGAAGGTCGGTCATTATCTGTTCTGAAGGTCAGTCATTGTCTGTTCTGAAGGTCGGTCATTGTCTGTTCTGAAGGTCGGTCATTGTCTGTTCTAGAGGTCAGTCATTGTCTGTTGTAGAGGACGGTCATTGTCTGTTGTAGAGGTATCAGCGATTGGCTGTTAGGAGGTCAGCAGTCATTGTCCATTACAGAGGTCAGTTATTGTATATGACAGAGGTCAATAACTGTAGATCGGTCGGTCATTGTCTGTTCTGAAGGTATGTCATTGTCTGTTCTGAAGGTCAGTCATTGTCTGTTCTGAAGGTCAGTAATTGTCGTCATTGTCTGTTCTGAAGGTCAGCCATTGTCTGTTCTGAAGGTTGATCATTGTCTGTTCTGAAGGTCGGTCATTGTCTGTTCTGAAGGTCGGTCATTGTCTGTTCTGAAAGTCGGTCATTGTCTGTCGGTCATTGTCTGTTCTGAAGGTCGGTCATTGTCTGTTCTGAAGGTCGGTCATTGTCTGTTCTGAAGGTCAGTCATTGTCTGTTCTGAAGGTCAGTCATTGTCTGTTCTGAAGGTCGGTCATTGTCTGTTCTGAAGGTCGGTCATTGTCTGTTCTGAAGGTCAGTCATTGTCTGTTCTGAAGGTCAGTCATTGTCTGTTCTGAAGGTCGGTCATTGTCTGTTCTGAAGGTCAGTCATTGTCTGTTCTGAAGGTCAGTCATTGTCTGTTCTGAAGGTCAGTCATTGTTGTCATTGTCTGTTCTGAAGGTCAGTCATTGTCTGTTCTGAAGGTTGATCATTGTCTGTTCTGAAGGTCGGTCATTGTCTGTTCTGAAGGTCAGTCATTGTCTGTTCTGAAGGTCGGTCATTGTCTGTTCTGAAGGTCAGTCATTGTCGTCATTGTCTGTTCTGAAGGTCGGTCATTGTCTGTTCTGAAGGTCAGTCATTGTCTGTTCTGAAGGTCGGTCATTGTCTGTTCTGAAGGTCGGTCATTGTCTGTTCTGAAGGTCAGTCATTGTCGTCATTGTCTGTTCTGAAGGTCGGTCATTGTCTGTTCTGAAGGTCAGTCATTGTCTGTTCTGAAGGTCGGTCATTGTCATCATTGTCTGTTCTGAAGGTTGGTCATTGTCTGTTCTGAAGGTCAGTCATTGTCTGTTCTGAAGGTCGGTCATTGTCTGTTCTGAAGGTCGGTCATTGTCTGTTCTGAAGGTCAGTCATTGTCTGTTCTGAAGGTCGGTCATTGTCTGTTCTGAAGGTCGGTCATTGTCTGTTCTGAAGGTCAGTCATTGTCTGTTCTGAAGGTCGGTCATTATCTCATTGTCTGTTCTGAAGGTTGGTCATTGTCTGTTCTGAAGGTCGGTCATTGTCTGTTCTGAAGGTCGGTCATTGTCTGTTCTGAAGGTCGGTCATTGTCTGTTCTGAAGGTCAGTCATTGTCTGTTCTGAAGGTCGGTCATTGTCTGTTCTGAAGGTCGGTCATTGTCTGTTCTGAAGGTCAGTCATTGTCATTGTCTGTTCTGAAGGTTGGTCATTGTCTGTTCTGAAGGTCAGTCATTGTCTGTTCTGAATATCGGTCATTGTCTGTTCTGAAGGTCGGTCATTGTCTGTTCTGAAGGTCGGTCATTGTCTGTTCTGAAGGTCAGTCATTGTCTGTTCTGAAGGTCGGTCATTGTCTGGTCTGAAGGTCAGTCATTGTCTGTTCTGAAGGTCAGTCATTGTCATTGTCTGTTCTGAAGGTTGGTCATTGTCTGTTCTGAAGGTCAGTCATTGTCTGTTCTGAAGATCGGTCATTGTCTGTTCTGAAGGTCGGTCATTGTCTGTTCTGAAGGTCGGTCATTGTCTGTTCTGAAGGTTGGTCATTGTCTGTTCTGAAGGTCAGTCATTGTCATCATTGTCTGTTCTGAAGGTCTGTCATTGTCTGTTCTGAAGGTCAGTCATTGTCGTCATTGTCTGTTCTGAAGGTCGGTCATTGTCTGTTCTGAAGGTCAGTCATTGTCTGTTCTGAAGGTCGGTCATTGTCTGTTCTGAAGGTCGGTCATTGTCTGTTCTGAAGGTCAGTCATTGTCTGTTCTGAAGGTCGGTCATTGTCTGTTCTGAAGGTCGGTCATTGTCTGTTCTGAAGGTCGGTCATTGTCTGTTCTAGAGGTCAGTCATTGTCTGTTGTAGAGGACTTGTCATTGTCTGTTGTAGAGGTATCAGCGATTGGCTGTTAGGAGGTCAGCAGTCATCGTCCATTACAGAGGTCAGTTATTGTATATGACAGAGGTCAATAACTGTAGATCGGTCGGTCATTGTCTGTTCTGAAGGTCTGTCATTGTCTGTTCTGAAGGTCAGTCATTGTCTGTTCTGAAGGTCGGTCATTGTCTGTTCTAGAGGTCAGTCATTGTCTGTTGTAGAGGACGGTCATTGTCTGTTGTAGAGGTATCAGCGATTGGCTGTTAGGAGGTCAGCAGTCATTGTCCATTACAGAGGTCAGTTATTGTATATGACAGAGGTCAATAACTGTAGATTCCTGATGGTGTGAGACAACATTATTGATTATATTTCAATGCTCAGTGACTTGAGGGCGGTGGGGTAGCCTAGTGGTTAAAGCGTTCGCTTCCCCACCCGGGTTCGATTCCCCACATGGGTACAATGTGTGCAGCCCATTTCTGGTGTTCCCCGGACGTGATATTGCTGGAATATTGCTAAAAGTGGCGTAAAACCATACTCACTCACTCACTCACTCACTCGGTGACTTGCATGTTAATATCATACACCATTAGCTTGGATCACTGCTCACACTATCAACCACTGGATAGCCAGGTCCAGACTCGAGGCTGCTATCATATAGCTGGAGTATTGCTGAAACCAGCTTTCAGCCACCAACAGACACAGGCTTGTCTTTCTTCATGTGATATAGATATTGTCTGGGCATTTCATCCACCTGTTTGTCTGCATGTATAGTCTTCATGTCCGTGCAGGTTATGATCTTATCCAAGCTGATTTGATGAGATTATACGTTTGAGAAATATGTCTCTTGAACATTTTATCTGATTCAAAATTACTAAACTGACAGTTCCCAGACATGTATATTTGAACAAATGTGTAATGTTGCATTTTAAGCCAGTGTAATCTGACCAGTCTGTATATTTCCCAGGGAGATGGATGCCTTCCTGCTGAAGCTGTCACTGTGTAAGGATCTGCTGACTCAAGATGAGGATGATCGTTCTCGAAACTCGGGATTAACCTTGAATGGGGTGAGTTACCTCCCTTTAAGTCTTGGAAATCCCAGTCTGTATCCCAGTGGTTACCACCAGTTACGACTACCTGCCACCAGTGTGCAAATGTCTAGGAATCGTGGAAATGTTCCCTGTAATTCAAATGTACTGGCATCTATATTTTTATGTACGTCTGTGGCCATGTCATCCAAGTGAATGGGGAAGAGTTTACAAAATTCCAACTGACATACAAACAAAATATTTTGGTGGGTAAAGAATATTTCTTGTTTGTCAAGATGCTGGTCAGCCACATGTATGTATAACTTTTGCTTAGCACACTGGCTAACTATTCTGTACAGGGCCCTGTTCTCAAAGCGACCGTAACTTACAACAGTCTTAAGTCTATGTTAAAGTATGGGAGTTACGATCATCTTAGCGTTACAATTGTTTTGTGGAACTGGGCCCTGAATTGTATCTGGGATCCTTTATATGTAACCAGCATTGTTTATGAAAAACTTAGTGTCAGTTTCCACAGAGAGTAGAGTGATCTCCCTTGAATACTCAAGCTACACACCTGATGTTTTTATGTGTGGTATAGAACACATTGGAGGAATTTTAAAACCAGAATCTTGGTGATAACAATAATAGTGAACAATATACAAGCATTTGTCGTTTGATTTTACATCATTCTGCACATCTGCTGGTGTATGTTGTGTTGAAATGCAAAGTAAATCCCCAGTGAGGGACATACAGTGTCACTGGAAGTTCTAAATGTGAAGTCAAGGGTCAATTATACAAAGGCATAAAATACCCAAAGATATTATAACATCACGCTTTATGAGATTTAACCCCTCTGGTTTTATATTTTGTTTGTTTATTTGTTGTTTAGTGACGAACTCCGCAATATTCCAGCGATGTGGCGGCAGTCTGTAAATAATCCAGAGGTTCATAACTGATAAGGGGCGGTGGAGTAGCCTAGTGGCTAAAGTGTTCGCTTGTCACACCGAAGGCCTTGGTGCAATTCCCCACATGGGTACAATGTTTGATGTCCCCCGCCGTGATATTGCTGGAATACTGCTGAAAGCGGCATAAAACTAAACTCACCTCCACCCACCATAAATAATATGAGTGCCTACCATTGTTGCCATTATTTTCCGTCCTGACCGAAGATCCCTCCAAATGTTTTATGTGTTTATCTGTTAGGCAATGTCAGTATTCTGACATGAGAAATGTGTCATGAAATTAAAGTATGCTTGTAGCATTTACTTCAATAAAGAAACAGAAGAGTTATTTCCCTTGAGGGGTGATCTAACATGAGGCTAAAACTATATATGACACCCCCATCACTTTACACCAAATTTGAGAATTTATTGTGGCAGATCCAGAATCAAATTAGCAGATAAGTTTACCAGACAAGACATCTTTACGCAAATGTGTAATCTTCCTTCTTCAGGTCGCCATGACGTACATCACCTTCCTGGCAGACAAGCTCCAGAACTGTCACGGACAAGTCCTCAAACTGGAAGAGAAGGTAAGACATCCTGGCTTAGAATACACTACCTCCATGTCCTAGTGGATACAGTGGTTGCTTCATTCCGACTCACCCTGCTGCTGGGATGGTAGACCTGCCAGAAAGACTTCCACTCGTATCCCCCTTCTAGTCAAATCATATCACCTGAATATATATGTATGGATCTTTTTCCTCATCGTTAACATTTAGAGGGGATACGGGTGGAAGTCTTACAGACCTGTCTAGTAGTTTAAGTATTGTAGCATGGCGGCACAGGCAAAGTGTTTGAATCACATATGGGTTTGTACCAGCCATACAGGATATGAGTGCTGTGATGGGATTTGAACCATTGACCTCATCAGATGCCTCGTCCACGCGACCACAGAGGTGTTAGCAAGATGATGAAATATACATGTTATCTGTGGATGGGTCCATACTCAGTACAATATGCTACAATACATGAAGCCCATTCTTATCATTTTGCTGAAATATTAGAAGCAGGAATTGCAGAAGGGGAAACCCATCACAATATTATGGCATTGAAGGATTTTGTGCAAAATTTGGGAACATATTTAATATTTGGGATTACACTTTCTAAGTAAGGTACAAATACTAGTACCTTGTTGGGTTGACTAAAGTTGCTGTGGTTGAGCGGGTTAGGTGGCTGACTTTGTGTGCTGGCGATTAGGTGCCTGACTCTGAGGGTATGGGTTCGAATCCCGGATGGAACTCAACCCAACAAAAGCACTAGAATGTGTACTTTACTAAGAAAGTGTAATCCCAAATATAACATGTGTTACATTTGACCACTTTCCAAATGGCCTTGTGTATTCAAAATTTGGTTAGTACAAAATGTAAATACTTTGCGGGATTTTTAAAATGACCTCAAAGTTGGTTTGGATTGTTAGGATATAAAAACAGAAAATTCACATAGATCCTTATAAATATCATACACGTGAAATCTGAAAGCAGCGTTTTATTGTTATTTTTTTAACAAAGTCATCTTTAGTGTCAGCAGTTTTAAAACGTTGTTAAGCTGGTTCTATTTTTTATATATTTGTTGAATTTTAAGGTCTGTGGATTTGTAAAGAAAACAACAAAATGTTATGCAAGTCATCTTCTTGATTCTTTATCCTAAAGCGGCAGGTGGCTGGGGGGAAGTGGTTACAATACATGGTGTATCCCCTGAAGTGCTTGTATGTAAAATATGATGTTAACATTGTTTTACAGTTTGTACTTCTATGTAAAACAGGGGATTATCTCTCATAATCCCCTAAAACATGTACTCTCAGGTGTAACATTGTCTTGTTGTAACAAAGGCAGGTGGCCGTGTACATTATCTGAACTCACAGCAGGGTGAGTGAGTGGGGAATAACGAACATTTAACGAATGTGTCCACTAAGACAATTGAGACAGGCCAATATTTGTCTCCTGCACAATGGTGGGTGACACTGTTAGGTTGAACAATGGTGTATTGTGACAGCTTGAACCACAACAACAGGTCATCCACAGCACAAGCTGACCAATCTCAGACTCAAAACTGACATGGGTGTGTGAAGGGTAGTAGTCAGGTCTAGCAGCTCTAGCAATGCCTCTTGAATGTTTTGCATCAAGGACAAAAATATTCCCTTCAAGAAAGGGTGGAAAGTTGAAATTTGTAAGTTGGTTCTGTGAAATTGTATTGCAGAAAATTATTCCTTAGGGACCGTTCATAATTTATGGCTATGGGGGCAGTTGATGATGATTTTTATGGAGAATCATGTACAATGTGAATGACCCCTCTACAATTTATGTTCAAAATAAGTGATCCCCCACCCATGTCATGTACAAATTCAATTACCCCCCCCCTCCTCCCTTCCCATAATTTATAAGCATAATTTTAAACATATTTTTATTTACTAAATTGCTGAAACCCCCACCCCCACCCCAGTACATGTGTGCAAAATGGATTACCTCCCTAGCTCCCCAGAACAAAATGGGTGACCCCCCCTAGCCATAAATTATGAATGGTCCCTTAGATTTATTACAGTTCATTTGGCAGTGTCTGCTTTTGCTCTTGCAGCACAAATAACATTTAATTTTAATTAATGTTTGTTGAAATAAGGTGTGTTAGAGGAACTGGTCTGATTTGAATAGTACATCCTTCTATCCTTCTCATGGGATATTGTTTGGATGGGGAAATATCTTGTATGGCTATTGCATCTGTTGGGTAGCTCAGTGGTTGAAGTGTTTGATAGTCACACCAAAGACCTGGGTTCTATTCCCTACATGGATACAATGTGTGAAACCCATTATGGTTTCTCTGTCAGGATTTTGCTGAAATACTACTAAAAGTGGCGGAAAATAATACTGTTTCACTCTCTAGTACCTGCCATGATCTGCTGTTTTGTGTTTCAGGCCCACGAGGTGGTGAAGCAGCTCCCCGACAGCAGCTACGACTACCTGGACCCTGACGAGATGAGGGAGCTCACTGGGGCGTTGCAGCAGATGCCGTCGCCCATGTCCTCCCTCTCTATACCACTGTCATCCTTTGAGGTGAGTCCTCCCTCTCTATACCACAATTGTCCTTTGAGGTGAGTCCTCCCTCTCTATACCACAATTGTCCTTTGAGGTGAGTCCTCCCTCTCTATACCACAATTGTCCTTTGAAGTAAGTCCTTAATGACTTAATATTTGGGTCCTGATACGATTCTTTATATGCTGGCATGGTTTAACTGGAATATCCATGCGTTGAACCTTGAACAACACCAAAGAAAATTACATCCTATTTTAATTATATGTCTTTTTTTCCAGGTACGGTCGTCCAAGGCGGGAAAATTCACCAGCAAGGTGACGTTGAACGTGGACATTCGGCAAGGCCGGTTCTATGCTGTGAAACCCTCAAAAGACTTCCTGGATTCAAGCAACACCTTCACACATGACAGAAGTAATAAATTCAAATATTATTATCAACTGTCCGTAGCTTGTCAAAATGCACCCAACCGTTCACTGGGGTAGGGGGCCAGTGTTTTTTTCAGTAGTTCTAGCATAGATTTGTCTGGCCAATATATACGGCAAACTCTCTATCAGACAAAGTTCACTCTGAGAAATTATGTCCCTCATGTTTTAATTATTTCTTTATTATTATGTATCTGTTGTACTTTAAACCAAAGGAGGCTGGTGGGGTAGCCTAGTGGTTAAGGCGTTCGCTCGTCACGCCGAAGACCCGGGTTCGATTCCCCACATGGGTACAATGTGCCCATTTCTGGTGTTCCCCGCCGTGATATTGCTGGAATATATTGCTAAAAGCGGCGTAAAACCAAACTCACTCACTCACTCACTTACTTAAACCAAAGGATTTTATTCATACGACTTACTGGTCACTGTGAAGCTGTGAATGAGAAATGTATGATATGAGCGGCTAGTAGGAGTGGCCATTATCAATAGAGCTGTGACGATTTATCGTAGTATCGATAATCGTGATACTTTAACTGACGATAAATATATTGATACGTTTTTTCGTATCGTGATATGTATCGTTGACCTTAAAATTGTTAATTTTCACTAGATATTGATGGTTATGTCAAAATTTCTTGCGATTAAAATATGATTTTTGTAAGGAAAATAACTAAAGAAAGCATATTGTGATATGCATCGAATCGAATTGTATCATTCCAAGATATCGCGATACGTATCGTATCGTGAAATTTCTGTATCGTCACACCTCTAATTATCAACATGGTGAATGAAGGCTGGGAACTTTTAAAATGACAAGTGTTGAGACTCCACATAGTGAATTGTGGCACCGTAGACCAAAATACCAGACAAAATAAAAATGCTTTACAAAAATATAACCAAAAAGAGAGGTCAATTATTTTGGAAACATTATTTTATTTTGGTAAGAGTTTAGATATATTACTTATCGTACTTAATTTGTATGTTTTTTCTTTCCAGTTCTTCAGCTTGTGAAAAGCACGTCAGACAATAGTCGTCTGGATGTGATCATCGAGGGCAAGAAGAAGACGTCCTACATGTTCGAGAACGCTCATGCCAGAGAGAACTTCTGCCTCCAGATCCGACACATGAAGAGCTTACATTCCAAGGAAGAGAAGGTGGACCAAATTTCAGTGTTCATTGGGACGTGGAATATGGGTAGGTGGATGTGCAATATTAGTTTGGTGGTGTAGATTATTTGTAGGTGGACATTAAATATGGTATATTTGTGTACTTGGATGTGGAATATGAGTAGGTAGATATCGAATTGATGGGGGGATATTGGATTTCATCACGGGTAGTTGAAGCACAGACTTCACTCACCATTAATCCATGTGAACGGATCTGATAAAGTGAGTGTTCTGGATTCAGGCATTCTGGTAGCCATGGTAACACCACTAGCATACCACATCCAATTTATCTGAATCACCACGTTGTCTTCCAGGGAAGTCGGCGCCCGACCACACACTGAAGCACTGGCTGAAGTGTAACGGGGAAGGCAAGTCTCTGGATCGCACACTGTCACGCATTCCACACGACATCTACGTGATTGGCACACAGGAGAGTGCTCTCAACGACAAGGACTGGGTCAACACACTGAAGGCGTCGCTGAAGGCCACGCTGATGGTCGACGTGGAGATGGTACGAACCTTTCTAATAACCATTTTGATTGTCACTAGTTTTGGTGCTGTTGATTTAGAGCCTGAACGCCCATTGAGATGTGTGAACTGAGAACCATTCAGAACTATTGAGGAAATAAATCTCAACTATGACATGTTTATAGTTGTAGAAATCTCATGAATCTGTTGATCTGGAAATAGTATCAACCTGCCCCATTGCATAATAAGCCCTAAGCGTTACCTTGTTGTAAGGGAGACTAGGTGAGATTGGGTAGACAAGCATGGTGACATTGTCATCGTACACTGATGGTGTGAGACAAGAGACTATGTTAGTCATCGCTCCATCCATCCATCCATCCATTCCATTCCCCCCCCCCAATTCAAAATCAAATGTGTTGTAGCTATTGGATGCCGATTGTGTGTTTAATCTTCGGTTGATGCTCTATTATTTACTTCCTACTTGTGCAATATACTAGCCTTGCATGAAATGTGTAGCATGTCTTTCAGCTTCATTTTGGTCCTTTGGAATTATGGACCTTTTTAAATAGTTACATGCAACTTTAATCCTTTGTTTCAGCTGGAGATGTGCAACTTGTGGGGCATCCGAGTGGTCGTCCTGATCAACCCACAACACCGGCACTGCATCTCCCACGTACAGAAGTCCTCCGTCAAGACAGGCATCGCTAATGCTCTTGGTATGTTGCTATGGAAACCTGTCACCTGTTGTTAGGACACTAGGACCCAATGCAGCATCAGTTCCAAGGTCATATCTTGACCTTGAGGTCTTCATATGGTCTTTGTACCCAGGGTCTCATTAAGCTTTAACTTTTAACATTAGTGGTAACATCTTGACCATGCTTCTCTTTAAACAATGTTGGTAATTTGGGGGTTATAGTTCAAGATTTCAATCAAAAGACCCGTGTCCAACAGACAAATAGATTTCTCTAAGGCTCCTTCATAAAAACTCTATGTTTGTGTGACATGCATTGTTTTAAAGAATCCTTTAATCTAATATCTACTTTTATTTACTTCACAATCTCTCATGGTATAACCAAATACAAACTTTATATATTTTGAGAATGGACACAAAATGTGAGTTGCGTGTCACACAGAAGAATATGGCTGAACTGATTACGACAAGCCGTGTCATTTTAGTTTTGTTGTTTCGGGTTTATATCTTTGATATGAAAAGACACTCAGGTGAGATTCTCTATGACTAATACTAAATTTATAACCCGAACATTAAACTTGTTTATGATGAATTTCAACTACATACTAGTTAGCAGGACTTTCATGAACATGAGGGCAGTGGGGTAGCCCAGTGGTTGAAGCGATCGCTTACCACGCTGAAGACCCGGGTACAATGTGTGAGGTCCATTTCTGGTGTCCTCTGCTTGATATTGTGGGAATACTGCTAAAAGTGACATAAAACCCAACTCACCCACTCAATTTATTCACATTTTGCATATCAAAATAAATGTTTACTTTCTGTTGCTAGGCAACAAGGGAGCTTCAGCTGTTTCATTCCAGTTCAACGGTACTAGTATCTGTTTCATCAACGCACATCTGACTTCAGGGGACGAGAGGTTGCACAGGTAGGTTGCTCTTGGGAAGCTTTATTTTACTGGCAAAGATAAAATCATTTTAGAATATCAAGAAAGTTGTAAACTGATGGTTTTGACCTTTGACTTTCACTGTGATTTATTTACGACATTTCAGGAGAAACCAGAACTACAGAGACATCCTGAAGGGGGTTGTCACTCGGGCCAAAGAGTTTCGAAGGATTTGACGTGTCGCACAAATTCCATCACGTTTTCTTCTTCGGAGATCTCAACTACAGAATTGTAGAGAAAGTAGATGTAAGTGGTTAGTGTTCGCTCTGTGAGAACTAATCGAGTTCGAGGTAACATGATTTGAGTTGTCCTATATAACTCTCGAGATTCTGCCGCCCTTTAATCACCTATTGGTATCTCAAGGTCATGATCATGTTTTGTGTAATATTCCCCAGGGAGTTGAGAATGAAAGTCACATGCACACTGATCCATGGACAGGTGTATGATCTGCATGTGAACTGTTTTAAATTGACAATGTGTTATACATATTCATCATTTAATAAAGACACACACTTGCCCACTGCACATGCTAAGGGGAGGTAACTCAAATACACATCTTCTGCTGTGTTTGTTGAAAGGTTGTGCTGAAGAGAGCAGAAGACCGAGATATTCCATTCCTTTTGGACAGAGACCAACTGAGGAAGACACAGTTTGATAAAGATGCATTCTTCAACTTCAGTGAGTAGTCACCTTGTCTGATTCATCTTTTGAACCCGTGAAGATACGGGTTAGAATTGGTCTTCAGCAACCGATGCTTGTGATAGGAGGTGTCAAACGGGATCGGGTGGTCAGGCTCGCTGACTTGGTTGACATATGTCATCATATCCCAACTGTGTAGATCGATGCTCATCCTGTTAATCACTGGATTGTCTGGTCCAGACTCGATTATTTACAGATCGACGCCATATAGATGGAGTATTTAAATAATTTTTCCAGAAACTGCTCTACCAGTGCGTTTGAAAATTCACCCAAAACAAAAGGGATCAATTTAAGTAAGTAGAACTTTACAGGTGCAACATAAAACTGCAAAATACAACCCAATATTTAAACCAACTTGAACCCACATCTTACTGTTCAAAGAACACAGACTTCAGCTGGAAAACATAATGATGAGGAGCTGGCTTCAGGCAGTGACTCTGATGACTTCACAGACAGTGACTCTGATGACCACAGACAGTGATTGGATGACTTCACAGACAGTGACTCTGATACAAACAGTGACTCTGATGACCACAGACAGTGATTGGATGACTTCACAGACAGCGACTCTGATACAGACAGTGACTCTGATGACCACAGACAGTGATTGGATGACTTCACAGACAGTGACTCTGATGACTTGTCAGACAGTGACTCTGATGACTTCACAGACAGTGACTCTGATGACCACAGACAGTGTTTGGATGACTTCACAGACAGTGACTCTGATGACTTCACAGACAGTGACTCTGATGACTTCACAAACAGTGACTGATGACTTCACAGACAGTGACTCTGATGACTTCACAGACAGTGACTCGGATGACTTCACAGACAGTGACTGATGACTTCACAGGCAGTGACTCTGATGACTTCACAGACAGTGACTCTGATGACTTCACAGACTCTGATGACTTCACAGACAGTGACTGATGACTTTACAGACAGTAACTCTGATGACTTCACAGACAGTGACACAGACAGTGACTTGATTGGATGACTTCACAGACAGTGATTGGATGACTTCACAGACAGTGATTGGATGACTTCACAGACAGTGATTGGATGACTTCACAGACAGTGACTCTGATGACTTCACAGACAGTGACTCTGATGACTTCACAGACTCTGATGACTTCATCAGACAGTGACTGATGACTTTACAGACAGTAACTCTGATGACTTCACAGACAGTGACTCGGATGACTTCACAGACAGTGATTGGATGACTTCACAGACAGTGACTCTGATGACTTCACAGACAGTGATTGGATGACTTCACAGACAGTGATTGGATGACTTCACAGACAGTGACTCTGATGACTTCACAGACAGTGACTCGGATGACGGCAACTGTTCATGTCAAGAGATTATGTGAAATAAGACAACATGATTTTATCAACCCTTCTTAGAGGGTATATGTGATTTGTTTAATCTTAAAATGATTATGATTATGAAACTTGTAGGCTTATATTTTCAACTCGTTCCACAGTATTACCTGTCTAAAGAGTAATTACTGTAATTTCATTCACAAATGGTTATAGAACTTTGTGGTTACCTTTAGATGAGAGCGAGATCAACTTCATGCCGACCTACCGTCTGTACCGAGGGAAGCCGGGCTACAAGTACGACTGGAAGAAGGTCAAGAAAACAGGGGTGAGTCTGTAGCAGGGTGTATAAAACATGGCAGGGTCACATGGCCATCACCTGCAGCTTCCTTTGCTTCAAAATCTTAAGCGAAGTTCAAACCTGACTGCGGCGGTGGGGTAGCCTAGTGGTTAAAGCGTTCGCTTGTCACACCGAAGACCTGGGTGTGATTCCTCACATGGGTACAATATGTGAAGCCCATTTCTGGTGTTCCCCGCTGTGATATTGCTGGAATATTGATAAAAGAGATGTAAAACTAAACTCACTCATTCACTCAACCCTGTCTGTCCTGTAGGTATTTTTTTCAGTAACATTGTCGGAAAATTTGAACCAATTTCAAGATTCACAAATCATGTCGACTTACTCATGTCCATATTAACAGCATTCAGATTCATATTTCTCTGCAGTGGATATGTTATTGATGGGTGGACTTATGTCATTTCAGGAAAGGATCAACGTGCCATCTTGGTGTGACAGAGTACTGTGGCATTCCTACCCAGGGACCTTCATCGAGAACAACGCATATGGTGGGTTGCATTCTGTTGAAGTATCGACCACCTGCTGTAGTGAATGGAGTGTTTCTCTGGATAGGGGATAGTGTGTATCCCGTGATAGTGGATAGTGTGTATCCCATGATAGTGGATAGTGTGTATCCCGTGATAGTGGATAGTGTGTATCCCATGATAGTGGATGGTCACTGGCCATGCCTAAGTATGAACATTGAGTGATCTGGTATAAACAGTCTATGAAATAAGCCAAAACCCAAGCCAGACGTCAGGGCTGGTAACTTCAAAATGTTACCAGTCCAAAATGGATTTAACCAGACCAGACACCAAGATATGACTCCGATGTATATAACATCTAAATTTTTACCAGACCATCGGGCTGGCTAGCTGTAAATCTAGACCGTCCGTCTGAAATCTAACCCGTCTCGGGGGGTCGGGCTGGTCTTATACACTGGTATAAAGTGTCGCCTTTTATCAGACCCCCAAAACAGGTGACTTGGGACCAACAGTTGAATTGTGTTGTCTGAGGAGCTGGCTTGTCTTTTTCTCACCTAGTGTCATTTGAAACTGTTACCATTTCAGGAAGTGTGGAGAATCTGCTGAACAGTGATCACCGACCTGTGTTTGCGTCCTTCACGGTTGGGATAGCGTCGCAGTTCGTACACAGTCAGGCCATGCTCACCGAGAACTCCAGCATCAGAATCCTCTTCAACAGAATAGAGGCTCAGGTGGGTATGATACAATATGGGGATGGAGTGAAAGCTATCCGAGGTTTCAAAATCAGAATTGCAAGCAAGTTAGTTTGTCACACATACTTGACCAAACAAATGATCTTGCCAATATGGTTTTGAAAGGGGAAAAGGTTATTTTTGTTTTGTAAATATATGTGGTCTGTTGAGAATGTCCATTTTTGTTTCAAGTAAAACAAGGTTACTCCCTTCATTCATATTAAATGCTGCAGATCTCCCTGCAGAGTTATGTCCCTTAGCCTGAACAGGAACCAGTAGTCTTTACCAAAGTGGTAATCATATAAGATTAAGCTGACATGTTGTGATATACCTGAAATATTGTTCAGCATGGAGTTATACCTAACACAGAGTGTTTTCGTCCCTGATGAAGTTTCAGTTCAAACTTTAGTTCAGTTTGTGAATTGGTTTTGATTGTTAATTGTCACCAAGTATGCTGAATAGTGTAAAACATTATGAATAAGCAGTTGCACGAGCATCAGTACACAATTGTGGTTCAAGTGTTGCATCTTCTGCAACACTTCATGAAGCTAAGATGCCTTGATACAGCTCACATACTGTTAGACTGTCATTCAGTGCAACACAGAATGTTCTCATCTGGAGCCCAGTGGTGAAGGTTCTACCAACTTCTCCATTCATCGGAGTTCAACTTATATCCAACTTATATCAATTCTTTTGATTGTTAAGGGGCGGAGGGGTAGCCTAGTGGTTAAAGCATTCGCTGGTCACATCGAAGACCCGGGTTCGATTCCCCACATGGGTACAAGGTGTGAAGTCCACTTCTGGTGTCCCTCGCCGTGATATTGCTGGAATATTGCTAAAAGCGGCGTAAAACCATACTCACTCACTCACTTTGATTGTTAATCTTCTCCAAGTATGCTGAAACATGTTTTGTAAAACAAATGATGTATTAACAAATATACCCGTGTTGACAGGTTCAGTTTAAGGTGATTATTAACAATACATGTTGCTGTGTTTCAGGTGAGGACGTGTGTGCGACAACATTTCATCTTGGAGTTCTATTCCAGTTGTTTGTCCGGTAAGTCCTTTTAGAGGGTCGTGCATATTATAGCAGGAGCTCCCCTCAGCATTATGGTGGGGAATGACTGTATATTGTATCAGGAGCACTCAGTCAGCCACTTTACTACCAGCACACAAAGTCAGCAATCTAACCCACTTGGCCACCTTGTCCTTCACTAACATGAAATCAGGTAGTCCAGGGCCCCGTTCCTCAAAGCGATCGTAGCGCTACGACAGTCGTAAGTATATGTTAAAGTATGGGAGTTACAATCATCTTAGCGCTACGACTGTCGCAAGCCTATGTTAAAGTATGGGAGTTACAATCATCTCAGCGCTACGACTGTCGCAAGCCTATGTTAAAGTATGGGAGTTACAATCATCTTAGCGCTACGACTGTCGCAAGACTATGTTAAAGTATGGGAGTTACAATCATCTTAGCGCACGACTGTCACAAGACTATGTTAAAGTATGGGACTTACAATCATCTTAGCGCTACGACTGTCGCAAGCCTATGTTAAAGTATGGGAGTTACAATCATCTTAGAGCTACGACTGTCGCAAGCCTATGTTAAAGTATGGGAGTTACGATCACCTTAGAGCTACGACTGTCGCAAGCCTATGTTAAAGTATGGGAGTTACAATCATCTTAGCGCTACGACTGTCGCAAGCCTATGTTAAAGTATGGGAGTTACGATCACCTTAGCGCTACGATCGTTTTGTGGAACGGGGCCCAGGGGCTCCTTTCACAAAGCAACCTTTACTAAGGTTCACCTTAACTCCCATTCTTTAACATTGCACTAAGGTTACCTTAGTGACTTACGATCACCTTAGTGCTTTGTGAAAGGAGGCCCAGATCAGGTATTTAATCATGTGGGTAAGAACGCTGACTTTAAAGATGTATGAGATTCAGCAAGTGTATGACTATAGTGGTCTGTGTGTCTCAGACAACAATGGGGCCCTGATCATGAACACCATGCTCTGTGTTTCAGACATCATCTGCTGCGAATCCAATGTGAAGTTTATCGAGAGCAAGAGCAGCTTCTACTGCTGTCCAGAATGGCATGCTGACCAACTACCCATGGTACGTTTTACATCCTTCTTTACCTTGAACTAAAACCTGCCAATGTATTCAAGCACAAGAAGCTGGCATAGTGATATTTAGGATTCAAACCCAATCACTGGATTCTGGCATGACCAGGGGTTAGCCTGTGACAGGGGTTAGCCACCCATGCCTCTCATAAAATCAAATAACTACATGAGATTAAATCTAAGCTTTTACCTTGTTGGTTGTGTCTTATTACTGAGTGTTTGTGTCATGATACTAGATTATGAACACTTTTTAGGAATAACAACTTTCTTATGTTTTATCATGACATTTCAGAGCTACTTCTTCCTCTTCCATTAGGTGAATATATTTTTGTTCATCGAACTTCTAAATACTATTCTAAGACCTAGTTAATTAAACAGCATACGAAACTAAACAAACCGAAACCAATGATTGTTGCAGTTGCGGCCAATGTTTGGAGACCGGGACTATCTGGAGGAGCAGCACATCCTGATAGCTGTCCGTGGATGTGATGACGATGATGAGTCTTATGGTAAGTAGCATCTGTCTGGCACTTGTGTGACAAAATGTCTGGCGATGTGATGACGACGATCTGTCTTATGGTAAGTAGCATCTGTTTGGAACTTGTGTGACAACATGTCTGGCGATGTGATGACGACAATCTGTCTTATGGTAAGTAGCATCTGTCTGGAACTTGTGTGACAACATGTCTGGCGATGTGATGACGACAATCTGTCTTATGGTAAGTAGCATCTGTCTGGAACTTTTGTGACAACATGTCTGGAGTCCAAGATATTTTTTATGGATTAAACTTCTTTTTTAATTTCTCTCACTAACGTTTCGAGACCATTCCAGGCCCCTTATCAGGTGAACTGGCAGTTAGGACTATGACGTCGTCACTATGACGTCATTACTGAGTTATGACGTCACAATGCAAGTGACATCACAGTACACTAGGGAGAGTACTGTATAAGTGAGTTAGTTACATAATGATGAAATTCATGCTAAATAATAGAGTTGAAAGTTGAATTGTCAATACACAACAACTGCTAATTACACAAAGGTTACTTGATAGCATTATGTAACTAACTCACTTATACAGTACTCTCCCTAGTGTACTGTGATGTCACTTGCATTGTGACGTCATAACTCAGTAATGACGTCATAGTGACGACGTCATAGTCCTAACTGCCAGTTCACCTGATGAAGGGACCTGGAATGGTCTCGAAACGTTGTGAGAGAAATTAAAAAAGAAGTTTAATCCATAAAAAATATCTTGGACTTCAATGTACAACTTCTAAATGCCACTGAAAGACATAACATGTCTGGAGATGTGATGATGACGATCTGTCTTATGGTAAGTAGCATCTGTCTGGAACTTGTGTGACAACATGTCTGGCGATGTGATGATGACGATCTGCCTTATGGTAAGTAGCATCTGGAACTTGTATGACAACATGTCTGGCGATGTGATGGCGATGATTTGTCTTAGGGTAGGTAGCATCTGTCTAGGATCTATATCATACAGAGATTTATCTTGTCCTTCTGTGAAGCGAATATTCAGTCAGCAAGTATAAAAAATTCCAATATAGAATGATATCATGATGATGATGAGTCTTGTGGTAAATAGCATCTATCTGAAAACTGTGATAAGATGTTCATAGTATCATGATGATGATGAGTCTTGTGGCATGTAGCATCTATCTGAAAAATGTGATAACATGTTAGGAGTATTATGACAATGAACCCAGTAAAGATCTGGGTTGGAATTGATCTTCAGTAACCCATGCTTGTTGTAAGAGGCGACTAACGTGGTCAGCTCGCTGACTTGGTTGACACATGTCATCGGTTCCCAATTGCGCAGATCGATGCCCATGCTGTTGTTCACTGGATTGTCTGGTCCAGACTCGATTATTTACAGACTGCCGCCATATAGCTGGAATATTGCTGAGTGCGGCGTAAAACTCAACTCACTCACTAACTCACTCATGATGATGATAAGTCTTGTGGTAAGCAGCATCTATCTGAAACATGTCACAACACGTCCACTTACTGTGTATATTCTAGGTTTCAAGTGTGTGCGTGGCACTGTGGTTCACACATTCAATTAAGATAGCAGGCATATATTGTTGTGTATGTTTACAGGTGAGTGTGTGGTTTCTCTGAAGGATCAGTTCTCACCAGACTTCCAGTGTTTCGAGTGTGTACTCACACACAATGGAGAGGAGACGGGGAAACTCAGGTGACTATGCCACTGTGAAAACATCTAGTACCACATATTCAGTGAAGTACTTGTATAGTCTTGGTGATATATATCTCTGATAATGTCCTTGTTTCTCCTCCAGGGGTGAGATATGTCTGATAATGTCCTTGCATCTTCCCAAGGGGTGAGATATTTCTGATAATGTCCTTGTTTTTCCTCCAGGGGTGAGATATGTCTGATAATGTCCTACTTTTTCCCCCAGGGGTGAGATATGTCTGATAATGTCCTTGTTTCTCCTCCAGGGGTGAGATGCGTGTGTCTATGGGAGGCAAGTACAGAGTCGGCAAGTCCAGGAAGACATATGGTAAAGAAACGCTTTTATTTTGGGTTTATAGAGTTGACAAAACCACTGTAATTTCCATATATTTCTTTATAAAGAAACCAAAGCCTTAAAAAATATATATATATGACTTAAAATCTGTGTCCCGATTGGTAAAACAGTTAGGATTTAAACATACAATGTTGTCTGTCTGCAGTGAGATTACTTGCAGATTTAGCAGCACCTAATAAACTTTGGACTAACACTTGAAGATAGGACTCATTGGTACTATTCTGTCTACCGACACCTTCCTAAAGGACACACATTGTCACATTATTTTGCAACATGTTATGATTGTAACACCATTATGTTCAGATATGTTTCTGCTAAAACTTGGTTGCTATTTCAGAAATCGTTGCCTTGGATACGGAATACCAAGATCCTGAAGACATTCATCCCTCCACTCCACGACAAGGAGGACACCAACCTGTTGCCATGTCATCATCTGTTGGAATCCAGTTGCCTAGCAACGGACATTCGTCACCTGCTCGTCAGACAAGATACAGCAGTGACGAGGTGTTGCTTCGTCTGGGCCAAGAGAGTTCGAGCCCGGAACTAGGGTGGCCCTTGAACCCTAGCAATGGCCGACAGGCCGCATCTCCAAGACGTAAACCAATCATGGGCCAGTCAGTGCTTCAAGCGTCTGCCTCTCAAAGACAGGTCATGCCTGTTGTGTCGACATCACAACTTCCTGCCAACATACGTCCAAGTGAATCTGTCCCATCATGCCTCAGTGGTGTGGGAACTGCACCGCCAGTGACGATGCCTCGACCTGCCGAGTTGGGTCGGAAACATGACGTCAAGATGGACACTCCACCGCCACCTCTCCCAAAGAAACAACGACCAACATCGGTATGTCTAAACAACAAATTGTTGAAACTACTTTTTAAAATTTTATTCTTGTTTTCCTATGGACAGAAATGGTGGTTCTGTCAAGTGAAATGACATGGTGTATTACCAAGTGTTGTTAATCTGCTACTAATATATAATTGGTTGTAGTAATATTTTGCTTGATAATGGTGTAACAATCTACATCAAATGCACCCGTGAAGATCCGCGTTTTAAGCTCCAGCAACCCAAGCTTGTCGTAAGAGGCGACTAACGGGATCAGGTGGTCAGACTCGCTGACTTGGTTGGCACATGTCATCGGTTCCCAGTTGCGTAGATCGATGCTCATGCTGTTGATCACTGGATTATTTGGTCCAGACTAGATTATTTAGACCACCGCCATATGGCTGGAATATTGCTGAGTGTTGCTAAACAACAAACAAATAAACAAACAAACAAACTAACATTCATCAAAACGTTGCTCTATGCAATAAACAGGAAGTTGTAGTCCTTAAGATCGTGTGCGTTGTTATTTACTCACAAGCTAATCAAACAACATTATACGTAATCGTTCCTACTGTTTCCAGAGCGACAAGAACTATGACGGACTTGCCAAGCCTACCTCAGTGCAAGAATGGCTGACAGGGCTTGGTCTCGAGGAATACATTGTGTTGTTTCTAAAGTCTGGCTGGGACTCGATCTCCAGACTCCCCAATCTCACAGCCCCGGGATCTTTTACGCATGGGCATTCAAAATCCCGCGCACTGGAACAGAATGATCACAAGCATTCAGGAGATAAACTTCACATAGCAGCAGGTGTTGTTGCAAATTTGCTACCCATGAAATAAATTACCCCCCCCACCCCCCTGACATATCCAAGGTTTGAGACTGTCATTCCACAGTACATCATCATGAGTGAACGCTGCTAATGCCATTTACTGTGCTAATGCCATTTACCACGAGTGTTTTATGGAGATATCGAGGAACATTTATATTTTAAAAAAGAAACCATATATTTTCCCCAGTATATATTTCCTTTGTCCATTTGGTATGAAAATAAAGAAATAAAATTTTTTGAATATATTTCTAATAAAAATGAAAATAAAAGTTCTAAAATTAATGTTAAGAAAGAAATGTTCAATAAAAGCATATTCTCATTTAAACTCATAAAAGAAAACTTATGCTAATATTTCCATAAAAAAAAAACAAAAGAACAAATTTGGACAAGCCTGATATGTTTTGACAGTACTGGCTATAGAATGCTTTGTTTAGATGAAACACAGTTCAGTGATGCCTTGAAATGGGTTTTCATGATAAAATATTTGTAGGTAACATTTTGTACAGCTCTTTTGTATATAATTTGAATGGCTGATGTTCAAATTCCAGTTGATTTAATATATTTTGTCTCCGTGTTTTCTGTGTCTATATATGTATGTTGACTTTGTAATCAAGAAAGATTAATCTACTTCACTGAATCTCATAAAGTTGAAATAGCCATAATCCGAGGAATTGTGTTCAATCTGGCGATGCCCGGACAGCTATACAGTATTTTGTGTTGCTGTCAGCTGCATTTTGTATAAGTGAGAATGTTGCGATGTTGTTGTCACATATTGTCCAGTGCTGGCGAATTCTTAAAGAAAGTGCTACGATCGTTATTTGTCTGTGGAAATATGGAAGTCATTGCACTTCAGAGTGTCGCGGATTGAATCTGTCACCCACACATCTGTCAGCATGGATAATCTGTTTTGCTACCATTTTGTAGTCGCTATGTATATTGTTGCTTGTCAAAGTATGAGATATTCTGCTGAGATGACTGAAAACATTACCATTTTTAGTTGCCTTACTCTGACATTCTCATTATTCGTGGTTTCCAAACATTTCTTACAACAATAAGCCACAACAACCAATTATCTTTGATAAAAAGCTCAAAAACTTGCAGTTTGGTTGAAGTGATGAACAAACTCAAGAAAAAACTACCGGTAATCCCAGTGGCCAAATGTCTTTGATGTGAAAATATTTGTTAATGTAATGAAAAGATAAACAATTGAGCAGAATATTAAAACTTTGATTTGAATTACTGGTATGTCTAGTGTTCAAGCATGTCCAGTTATAATGTTATGATGTCCAGGTGCTCATGCTCATGATGTTGATCACTGGATTGTCTGGTCCAGACCCCATTATATACAGACTGCCGTCATACAGCTGGAATATTGCTGATTGTGGCATTAAACAATCAAGCATGGTACATTTCATTTCGGTGCTAGGTGATTTCTTGGCAATCTCATGAAAGAAAAAAACAAATTAAAATGAAAAAACAAAAATCACATTATCAATTGCAGAAGTTGGTAGATGTAGCTCTATCTGGATTAGGGTCGGTGGGGTAGCCTAATGGTTAAGCGTTGGCTCGTCACGCCGAAGACCTGGGTTCGAATCCCCACATGGGTAACATGTGTGAAGCCCATTTCTGGTGTCCCCCGCCGTGATGTTGCTGGAATATTGCTAAAAGCGGTGTAAAACCAAACTCAGTCAGTCAGTCTATCTGGATTCACATGCTCTGTAGCTCACCCTTTCGTTGTAGAAATATTTGAAGTGACAAAGGTTGTGAGAATCATTTGGTGCTTGCCATCTCTTCAGACAGTTTACTTGTCTCTTCACAACTACTGTGTGATCCTTGTGTTACTGAAACACGTTATCTCTTGATATTACTGTGTTGGCAAATATGAGCAACAATCAGTTGTAAAACGTGAAGTTATCAACTCAGAAAAAATTGCATGTTCACGTGCCTACAAATAGAATAAATTTCTAAGTGCCTGATACCTTTTTGGTGTTTTCTTATTTCAAGATTTCTTGTCATCAAAATTGTACAGCACTTTGACTTCTAAACTTTAACAGATCAGAGCATATGGAATGATAATGAATTGATCAAAACATCTGTTTATAAAGTATTGAGAATGGGAATGTGTGGTTTATATGCCGTTATTAACTGACATGTCATTGATGTTTGCTTGTGGAAATTGGTTTTGTGAGCAAAATATTGTTGTCCAACTATTTGTCAACGCTTGTATTGTTGATTGCGTTGACCTTAATTACAGTCTTTACATGGAACGAAAAAGCAATATATCATATAACTTTATCAAATTCAGAAAATGTTTATGTGGATTGATCGATGTTATTATAAGAGATATGTTATTGTTAAGTCACTGGAATCACCTGTGTCACACATGCTCTGTCAGCTGCCCCGTGTATACTACTGCCAGGAAGATTTGATCAAGGATCAAATTTGAAATCTGTAGGATGCACATGACGATCTCAGCATTTCTGCAAAATCAGTCCTCGGAGGCTTGAAACGCAGTTAATAAATTCATTCCTGTCAGTGCAAGGCAGTAGCTGGATAGTGATGGTGCAGCAGGTAGGGTGTTCCACTGTGCTCAGTATCCGTGAAGGTCCGGGTTAGAATGAGCCTTCGGTACCCAATGCTTGTCGTAAGAGACGACTAACAGGATCGGGTGTCAGGCTCGCTGACTTGGTTGACACATGTCATCGGTTCCCAATTGCGCAGATCGATGCTCATGCTTTTGATCACTGGATTGTCTGGTCCAGACTCGATTATTTACAGACCGTCGTCTTATAGATGGAATATTGCTGAGTGTGGCATAAAACTAAACTCACTCACTCACTCTGCTCAGTTCAGACCTGGTGCAGGCAAACCAATGGTGAAGAGAGTGAATAGCAGCCCAATTTATCCGTGAATACAGTCGACAGTAACCATGTCATGTGTGACTGCCAGCACCACAATGGACAGTGGCGCCAACCATTCTCCAAGTTAGCACCATGGTTACTGTAGTACACAGTTTTCCTGAAGTCCTGAACTAGGTGACCCAGGGCAGCTGACATCATTGTGATACTGTGTTGCCTTAGACCAAGGTTGTGAGGGTAACTGTCCCATTGTATATCTGTAGAGAAGTGTCATTGTATCATTCAGACCATGTGTCATTGTATCATTCAGACCATGTGTCATTGTATCATTTAGACAATGTGTAAAATCATTACAATGTGTCATTGTATCATGGCAAACAGTGTATCATTGTATTATGACAAACAATTTGTCAGTGTATCATGACAGTGTCATTGTATTATGACAAACAATGTGTCATTGTATCATGACAATGTGTCATTGTATTATGACAAACAATGTGAAACTGTGTCTCAAAACTATAAATGCAACATGGTCTGAATGTAACATTGTGATCTTCAGGAGAGAGAGTTTATATGCATATAGAATATTTTGAAGTGTCTTGGTGTGTTACTCTATACACAGTTTATGTACATGGAGGGAGTTGTCAGGTTACTCTATACACAGTTTATGTACATGGAGAGAGTTGTCAGGACATTCCTACAGGAAGCTGCACAATCAGCATCCTGCCAGACCGGTTTATTGCCAGGTTGGACGAGAACTATCTGTTGTACAAATGAGTATTTTTGTTACAATGCCAAGCTTCAAGTATTGTATCGTATCACATAGTTTATCTCACCACATATCCTTGATCCTAGGCTTCACTACATGTATTTGTTTTCATTACCATGTACCGGGGTATGTATACAAACTTTTGCCATCTGCAGTTTTGTGTCTCAGTAGTTTTTTACTGAAGATAAAAAAAACATATTTGTATTCAATGATCAGCATTTAGTCTGTATTGAAATCTTTCTTGTAATCTCTTCAAGAAGTTATTACCTTATAAAGTTTATATTTAGACAGTTTTATGTTTAAATGTCTCAAATCTAAATAATGTCTTTAATGTCTAAAAGTTTATAAATTAAGAGGAAGTGTAATCAGTGAAATGGCTGAAAGTCAATGAGATAATCTGTAGTTATCTCCACTAAAGTTAGGGCAGTGGGTAGTGTGCTCCATGTTCAGACTGAAGTACTGGGTTTGACTCCCCACAATCTGCTTAAATTGTTTGTGTATGACCATAGTCATGATGCTTATAAATTAAAACACTCTCACATCTAGACACCAGATAGCCCTGTTGTTGAAGTGTTTGCTTGTCTTGCATTGGTCTAGGTTCGATTTCCAAAGAATACAACATGTGAAGCTCATATCCCTTTTTGTGATATTGCTGGAATATTGCTCAGAACCAGCGTACTCCCTCACTCACTGAATCTTTATACCATAATGTGAATTATATCCCAAAAGGAAGAAACTTTAAGTTTGGGATACTACAGCAAACTTTCATTGTGATACACACTAAACACGATTTGTAAGAAATATGTATGATTTTTATTTCTGTATTTTTTAAAAATTTGTACAGTGTCATATTAGTACCCAAATTTGTGGTAATATTTCTGGTTGGTCATGTATACCTTGACACAATGAACTAACTACAGACATTTGACTTTTTGTTGTTTTGTAACCGAGACATGATCATCAAATGGTTCATGCAGATTAACAGAAACTTTCTTGGTCTTTTCATTGTATGAGTACAGAAGGGATTGTCCATATAAATACACATTCTTCCTGTGTTTCTATGTGAAGTACTAGCTAAGGTATTCAGGGTAGTGTTGTGCTGTAGAAATCTAATCAGATGTACAGAGAATCACACTCTCGTGTCTTGATATCAAATATATTGTCACAAGTTGACAAAAATCAAAAACTTTCACGTCAAATTGTTTTTTGAGGTTACGGCCTATCGATATATCAAGTCTGATCATATACACAGAGAATCCTAGCTGAGTGTCTTTGATAACTAATATATCATCACGAGTTGATAACTAATATATCGTCACAAGTTGATAAAAGATGAAAACTTTGAGGATCCACAAGGTGATTTGACATTTTTGGACATGTTGATTTAGTTGGTATCAAAAGGCATGAGGGTAATACTCTATTTTGCATCCAAAATTGATGTTCTAGAAAAATTTGTCTCAGTAGCAAGCAGTATCAGTATAACTGACCAGCCTCAGTAACAGTGATGTCATTTGATTGTGATGTCATGGAAGCCAGCAATGAGGGACTCTGCACAATGGTGTTTCCATGGCGTTACTGCTTGATCTCACCCAGGTTATAGTTCTAGATGATACTTGGATATTTATTATAGTGCAAAATATATTTTATGGTAACTGCAAAGCCATCAATTCTGTTTGTGTCGTTATTTCTGACAACTCTGTTTCTGTTCTGCTTGCTGTTATCATAAAGCTTGAGACCAGTATTATATATTTTGTGCATGTTTGTTGTACTATATTACAGATTAAATTCACCTCAAGTAATCAAAACTTCTAGTGTCAATTGATTTTGATGCACTTATGTTTTTGCATAATAATTTGTATTTTATCAGGTACATGAGCATATTCTATAGTGTTTGTGTCAGTGTAAAACCAAACCATCACCTTGAAATATGCTGATTATGTCAGATGACGATTCCTGAAGTCAGGGAATGTTCCTGAGCCAACAGCTCTAGCTTTGAAATATGCTGTACAGTGACATAGACTTGCTAGTCCTCTTGTAAATTTACTAAATTAAGGAGTAAAACATTCCCTCTGGATTATGGTTGCCTAATTCTGAATTTAAAATTGCTCAATTTCTCAGAATATGAACTTTACAAATATACTTTGGGACAATATAATATTTAGTCAAAGTTACTTACATTTGTATTAAGATAAATGTCTGCCCATCTGTTGACAGTGAATATCCAGAGATGTTATAAACAGTTGTTGTTGTTTTTCAAAATCAAAATGTAAAATAAAATGCCTCCACTGCACAAACTTAGATATTTGGATAAGAATCGTATGATCAATATGTTGTAGACTTAGACGTGTTCAAGCCTTACACATTCCTTTTGTTGTTTGGTCGGGTCATGTGACTTTGTCCAGGCTTGTCGTTGTTTCCCAAAGTGCGTCTTGTTACTCGCTATATTAATCTCTGGATCGTCTGGCCCTGGGTCTGTTGTTTACAGTCTGCTTTCACGTAGCTTGAATACTGAAGAGTGTGGCATTAATAACAAATAAACAATCCTTCATGTGAGGCTGAAATGCACTGTTGAAACTTACAGCAAAGATACTCGCACAAATGCATAAATAGTAATGAAATCATCAAATATTACATTTTAATGATTAAGTTTATACGATTTTTCTGTAAGATTATTAGTAAAGAAATAAATCTTTTTGGCAAATGTTTCCCCTAAATGTTTTATGTTAAAGACATGTTTGTAAGGATTAACAATGTCTAAAACAAGCATGAAGTTCTGCGGTTTGTTACAGTGTTATTGTAGACTGTCTGTATGATAAATATTGGGCATCAGCTTATCCTGGGCTTGTTACCAGGGCAACAAAGTTCCTGTTGTACTCATGTTTGTATCCAGATATCATTACAGCTTTAATGACGTCTAAAATGAAAGTTATTTCCTGGTTATATAGACGTATGATCAAATATATGGCAGTATATATATCATGTTATGTCTTGGAAACCTTAAAAAAGATACTGTTTTCCTTCTAGTTCAAACAACGAATAATTGTCTTTGTATTTCTAACTGTAATGAATATACTACTCATTGTATGACTGGGATGTCACTTACTATTTACATGAATACATTATAAAGAACCATTTATATAATTTCTCTTAAGTGTTCTTATTTTGAATGAGTATTTTTGATAAAACATGTTTCTTAACAGTGAGTTTACTCATTTCAGAATAAACAAACCAACCAAAAGTTGGTCAAAATAGGAACAGTATAACCAAGTGATTGTTTCATATCTTTTAGATTTTTTACCTGCCCAAGTTTGACCAGCTCACTTTAAGAAGAAACATTTCTCAACCAATGTCAATATCGTTTTTGAAAAGATTCTCAACATAGTTATCTGGATAGACCTGAATAGGTGGTATAACATGGAGCAGCGTCACAGTACAGCATCATGGCTGTGTATACTACTCAAAATGAGTTAAGGAACACAGATTAACTGTAGTTATATCAAAGAATCAATCATAATGTTGAAATGTGGTGTATATAACAGTTATAACATACTTTTCACATGGTTGATAACTACATTCATTCTGATATAGTATAACATGATTTTCAGTTGTCCCCCTTTAAGACGAGTGGTGCACAGATATGCTTGGAGATAGTGTACCTGAGTGATGACATGCCGCTTTACATGTGTATGTAATGTTCCTTACAAACACCAACGAACAGTTTACCCCAGTTCTTCACATTCCCATGTGGTCGTCCATGATATAATATACAAATTCAGGGCCTGTAAGACTAACAGAGAGGCCCTGATGATGGATATTTATGGCGGAAGACCATCGCACAGAATCATAGCTCAACATGTCAGTATCCACGGAATTATTTTTATCTCAAGTCCATATTTGTACATTTATGAAATGTTTTATATAGTAATTGAGTAATAGAATGATTCAGTATTATTTGTGTTTGTTGGGTTTCTTATGTACGACACGCTGCTCTAAGCGATATGTCAGCTATAGGAGTGGTCTGTAACTAATGGAGTCTGGACCAGACAATCCAGTGATCAACATCATGAGCATTGTTCTACACAGGTGGATATGACTGCATGTGTCAACCAACTCAGTGAGTGTGACCACCCAACCTCTTCGACAAGCATGGGTTTCTGAGGACCAATTCTAACGAGATCTTCACGTGTCTTTACCTGAGCAAGAGTGAGTGAGTGAGTGAGTGAGTTTGGCTCAGCAGTGTTACAGCTACATCACATCATGTCAACAGTATGAGTGAGTGAGTTTAGTTTTACGCTGCTTTTAGCAATATCCAGCAATATCACCACAGGGGACACCAGAAATGGGCTTCACAAATTGTACCCATGTGGGGAATCAAACCCGGGTCTTCGGCTTTACGAGGGAATGCTTTGACCACTAGACTACCGCACCGCCCCACAGCAGTATGAGAGTAAAGCTGAAAGTGTTGCAGGTCGAAAGATAATCACCACTTTAGTAAACTCCAGAAGCATGGCTGGGCAATGACAAGCCCAGCCCAAGAACAAGGGTTTTGAAACTGAGTGACAATTCTAGATTCCTGGCAGAACCTCAGGGTCTCAGCATTGGGAAACAAATTGAAATGCTTCAGACCCCTTTGGCCATTTGTACCATGTGAGAATGAGTCACAGTAAGCAATGCTTGTCAGATTTGACAAGAACGTGTCACATGCCCTGGATGATGTGCGATAATGAGGTTCACTATACATAGAGTTACAGCTGAATATTTGCTTACTGTGCCGTGAAAACAAACAGAAAGCTGCATTCTAATCCATCTCAAGATTCAAGTGTAGAAATGATCCAGTGGAGATTGTCTGTGTACTATGGTTTTATGCTTTATTTAGTGTCTTGTTAGTTGTTTAACCTGGCACTCGGCAATATTAAAGCTATTTGATGACAGTCAATAACAATTGCGTATAGACCAGAAAATCCAGTGATTGACATCATGACTATGGATCTACGCAACTGGGATATGAAGCCATGCATCAACCAGGTCAGCGAGCCTGACCACCCGATCCTGCTATTTGCCTCTTATGACAACCATGGGTTGCTGGAGCCCAGATCTATCCCTGGATCTTCACATGTCGCTTCTTTTAGCACTATTTAAACCATATAAAAACACAACATCAAAAGTCATCTTCACACATTGTACCCACATGGGGAATCCAACCCAGGAATTAATCATCACAGCAAACACTTTACCCATCAAATGAGAGATTTTCCCTTATTGTTCAGGATGGTGGGTTAGCCTTGCCGGTACTTAAAGGGTTAACTTGTCATGCTGTGAAGGATCACGGGGGTAACAGCAGATGTTGAATCCCAGTCAACACTAACATAACTGTGTCAATGACGACAAACCAAAAACCATTCATAAAGTATTGCATGGAATCCTCAAGAGACATTTCCAATTGAAAGCTTGTGTCATCATCACTCGTATCTAAATCTACAACCACTGGCTGGATTATTGTTCTCTGGAGGCCATCTTTCTGCCAATATTGTCCCCCATTGTCTTAACATGCCCAACACTTCCTGCATGTAACTTGTGATTTTTTTCGTCGGCCTATCTTTCGATATCTTCAAATAAAACAATGAATTATTGACTATTTGTTAAAGTGTCCCCAAGTAAGTTCAACTGGGTTAAAATCCGAGAGATGGAGCTCAGTAGGCACGTTAATACCAGGTTTATTCATATATCTGCAAGTGTTTTCTTTAATTTTGTAGATGGTTTAGATTCATTTGATCTGTGCAACTGACAAATAAGGTCTTCGAGGTTATGTTTGCTTCTGTCATCCAGTTGGATCCAGTTGCCATGTGTCGAGACGGGGCTTGAAACAGGTTTACTTTCATCATCAACAGTTGTTATCAGGTCAATCCAAAACATCCTTCCTCAAATGTGGGTTTACCTGTAGTGTCCATTTAGTGGAACAATTCATTGATATTAATGGGATGTCTTGAAGATTTTAGTTTGAAAACATTGTATACATTTTGGTTGATGTCTCACATCCTACATACAAACTTGCACACTCTAACATGCCCGGACACTGATGTCTCACATCCTACATACAAACTTGCACACTCTAACATGCACGGACACTGATGTCTCACATCCTACATATAAACTTGCACACTCTAACATGCCCGGACACTGATGTCTCACATCCTACATACAAACTTGCACACTCTAACATGCACGGACACTGATGTCTCACATCCTGACACTGATGTCTCACATCCTACATACAAACTTGCACACTCTAACATGCCCGGACACTGATGTCTCACATCCTACATACAAACTTGCACACTCTAACATGCCCGGACACTGATGTCTCACATCCTACATACAAACTTGCACACTCTAACATGCACGGACACTGATGTCTCACATCCTACATACAAACTTGCACACTCTAACATGTACGGACACTGATGTCTCACATCCTACATACAAACTTGCACACTCTAACATGCACGGACACTGATCCGCAAGCTAGGCAGGACCCAAGGTTGTGCACGCAGGCTAGTTTGACATGTACATGTTTTCTGTCAGTGCTGACCTTCATGCTGAAATGGATACCTAGTCAATTAATTATTTACAATTTTACAATTTCGATAAACACATTACCATCGCTTACAATCAGCCCCATCGTCATAAAAAATAAATGAAGACAAATGACATCCTGCTTTTGAAAATATAACTCATTTATTTCATATATAAACAACCAACTAACGAAACAAAACAAGTCATGACAAGTAACACTTGATGAGCAAGTACAGGGATGGAGAACATGCTCTCACCACACCCTGCTGGAACAGATGGCCAAACTGCATTGTTCAGCTCAATGAATTTTGGAGGCCATTGTCTGGTTGCCCAGAATTAATGGTTTCCTTGCGAAAATTCATTAACTGATAAACTGACAGCATGATGGGCTCCTGTCTACTGGACTGAGTAGCTATTGTACATGTTTATACATCCCTGGGCTGTTGGCTGAAGTGCGAAAGGTTGCGGTGCTATACAATAGGGGTGAAACGGTATACCGTGGTATTAGTAGAACCACAGTATTTTACCATCAGTTTGGTATACTGATATAATGTAATCCAAAAATTCAGTATTTTGGGCTTTAGTACCATCGTTTTATTAACCTTCTTAAACCCTTTCTATAATGTCTAGAAATCGAATCATTTTGTAAAACTCTATGCATTTCTTTGTTAGATGGACTCTATTTTCCCAGGAGTAAGTTCTCACATACCGAACTGAAACGGGCCGAAACGAAAAAACCTTGTACTGCTATCTGTGCCGTGAAAAGAGCGTACCGTTTCACCCCCACAAATCAACCATGGTACCAGCTCAGAATATTGCTGAGTGCAGTGTTTTTACCTCACTCACACAGAAAATAGTGTGTCGACTTGTCTGAAGTTCCTTGTATTTTATCAATAATTTGGTTGGTCAATTTTTCACATTAACTTCTACCGCCATCATATATATGATACTTGGCCAAAGTGACAAGCCCAGAGTAGGATTTCTCTGACCTTCTGTCTTCATTGTCCATGATAATAAATATAATTTCCTCTACTGCCAAGTCCTCTGTGAAATGTATCCCCCAGGAAATAATCACACATAGACCAATCATAGAACACCATAGAACAATCAGTATGCTGCAACAGAGGCCCACATATTTCTATTATAATGCAACATTATCGCATACATAGAGCAGTTTGGCCTTCATCGCCTGCATGTTCTGAGCACCGATCAATGCTGCCAGGAGTAAAATGTTCTTTAATTCAGCAGTCAGCAATATTCTGGTAAATAATTCAGTCTGAACCACATGAATTTCATACGGCTTCCATGAGACTTTTGGAAGTCGTTCTGAATTGAATTATTCAACACTACACTGGTTTTTCCAGCTTCATGCTTTCTGATACATATCTGAATATTTGGCCTCGTTGAGTCAGATCAGTTTCCAATTCAACAAACAAAATCAAGTTAACAATTGTTTGTAAATAACTTCAACGAATGTCATATACGTGTATACCACTAAAACAGCTAGACCACCCAATTCTTTCCTATTGCTAGAGTTATGGCTGATTAAATATAATAATACGATCCTTCACTTTATTTTAGTGGTATATTTAAAAAAAAAGAACCATATGATACAACCCGTATGTTTTTCATCTGACAGTTATAATTGTAGATCATATATAACGTATCTGACAGTTATAATTGTAGATCATATAAAACGTATATGAAAATATGTATCTCAAAATATTTCAACAATATTTACACAAATTCTAGATTGCCTTCTTTGATTGGCATTCCAGAAGTTGAGGAGATGAAGCATGAGGACAATTTTTATGGATGTTCAATGAGGCGATGTTTCAACAAAGATACTAATGTCGTCACTTGCTTGACAACGACTTAGAATCTGTCGAAATGTTGCCTATACAGAATGAAGAAGTTGTACATCCATAGAAATTGCCCTCATTGTTCAAATTCTAGATTGGGAGTTCTAGATGTCACAGGCAGTCGACGGCAAGACACAGCAGAACATTAGGTGTGAGTGGGTGAATATTGCTTAATGCCACATTAGCTATTTTGAAGCTATTCATGGGGGGACAACAGACGGAAATAGGTATAATACAGCAATAGAACGTCTGTCATACATCATTTTTTTGCTACAGCATGAAAAAGGACCACTCTGTTTCAGGGAAATCACAAAAATATCTCAAACTGGAATGTTTTACCTTCTGACCTGAAGTTAAGGGGAAAAAATCTGAATGCCCCTAAAAAACATTCCAGAGTGGCGTTAGCACCAAATGATATGGAAATATTTTACTTAAAATTCATGGCAATAACATCATCAGACTGACTAAGTCTCTGAAAATATAGCGTTTTGAATGAAACAAGAACTACATGTCAGTAGAAAAGAAGCCCCAATGAGACTGTCAGAAAAACTAGAATATCATCTCAACATTTCTCCAAGAAGCCTTATGGTATGGTGGATAGAGCGTCTGCCCAGAGAGGTGAAGGTCAGTAGTTTAACACCCTGCCTTCCATCTTGCCGAAACACATTAAACCATACACTGCGTCTGGTATCTATGTTTATCTGATGGATGGTGTCTCAGTGGGCTAATACTGCTAAACTGTCAATAGTTCCAACAAAACAAGAACGAGCAAACATGACTGTACAGATGGGAGCAGAAAATCAAGTTAACAAACTGGCAATGACTAGTCTGGGGCTGTGTCAGCGTGTCTGTCGCCATCAGGTTCTGGACTGTGGCTACCTACATCAGAGAAAGGCTACATTTCCATGAAGAGCAGGTCACTAAATAATGAATGCACCCGCTGTTTGTTGAGAATAACAAAAAGCTCCACAACAGCCAGTGACGTGACCATGATTATCCATGAAAGTGCCTGAATCCTGATCATCCATGTTGATACAGCCAGGTCCGAGTATACATCACATGTGTCTTACTAGTGTTGTATCTTTGTATCTTACTCTCTGTTCGTTCACAATATTTTATGACTGTCCCCGAAAGTCTTCCTCCCTGAGTGACAAGCCTTACCACACAGAGAGCACATTATCGTCATGAATGATTAACACAGTATCATGTTTCAGAAATTTCTCCAAGATTAGCATGATTTTTTAATCTCACATGACTTCAAGAAGTAAAGTGACTGCTGTGTGTAATGGACATCCATGGCAACTTGACTGATCTTGAGCCAGAACAACGATGTACTTGTTCAGTAGGGCTGAGCAATATAACTGGTTTACCGGTTCAGACATGAAAACGATACGTACTGCGATACGCTGATCGAAAACCGGTATTTTGACTTGCATTCGGAAAACTTCATAACACTGGGAAATCTACGGAAATTTCCTTGATTCGTTGGGGCCAGATATTATTTCCATATTTATTTTGTCATGATTAAAGTTTTTATTAAAGCATAAGCAAGCATAGTGATTTTGTCGTGTTGTTTTGTTTTATAAATCAAGCATTAACTCGATTATAAGTATTTTTTTTGTTTAAAAATACTTCTTGCAATATATTGCAATACATATCGCAATATATGCTTTCACATTGCAGTATATCGCAATATGAACATTCTCTGCAATACTGAACCCTATTGTTGAGTGTGAGATTGATTCATGTCAATATTATTCCAGAATGATAGCTTCTTCTTGGAGGAAGTCCTAAAGTGTTGCAGGTTGTGGGCTTATGCCATTACCCTGCAACAGCTCCCCTAACACCTAGGGCACCCTATCCCACTAACACACACCCCCTACACATACACCTACACCACCCCAAACATACTACCCCTCTGACAGCGCCCCCTTCCAGCACCTAGGAAACCCTAGCCCACTGACACCCAACCACCACCCCAACCCACTTACAGCTTCCAAAATGCGACATGCCCACCCTAGCCCACCCCAACCCACTTACAGCTTGCGAGACATGCAACCTAGGACACCCTAGCCCACTGACACCCCCTACCTACAGCACCTCAGACACCTAGGACACCCTAGCCCACTGACACCCCCTACCTACAGCACCTCAGACAGCCCAGGGACACCCCTAGCCCACTGGACACCCCTACCTACAGCACTCTACAGCCACAGACACCCTAGCCCAGACACCTAACCTACAGCACCTCAGACACCTACCTATGCACACCCTAGCCCACTGACACCCCTACCTACAGCACCCCCACACCCTAGCCCACTGACACCCCTACCTACAGCACCTCAGAAACCTATACACCCTAGCCCACTGACACCCCCTACCTACAGCACCTATACACCCTAGCCCACTGGACACCCCACCTACAGCACCTCAGACACCCTAGCCCACTGACACCTACCTACAGCACCCCTCACACCCTAGCCCACTGACACCCCCCCTACCTACAGCACCTCAGACACCCTAGCCCACTGACAGCAACCTCCAGCACCTCACACCCTAGCCCACTGACACCCCCAACCTACAGCACCTCAGACACCCCAGCCCACTGACTTCTACCCCCTACCTACAGCACACACACCCTAGCCCACTGACACCCCCTACCTACAGCACCCTCACACCCTAGCCCACTGACACCCCCTACCTACAGCACCCCCACACCCTAGCTCCACTGACACCCCCTACCTACAGCACCCCCACACCCTAGCCCACTGACACCCCAACCTACAGCACCTCAGACACCCTAGCCCACTGGACACCCCCCACCTACAGCACCCCACCTCACACCCTAGCCCACTGACACCCCTACCTACAGCACCCTCACACCCTAGCCCACTGACACCCCCAACCTACAGCACCTCAGACACCCTAGCCCACTGGACACCCCCAACCTACAGCACCTCAGACACCCTAGCCCACTGACTACCCCCTACCTACAGCACCTATACACACCCCTAGCTCACCTACAGACATACATCCCTAGACCTACAGCACCTCAGACACCCTAGCCCACTGACACCCCCTACCTGCACAGCAGCCCCACACCCTAGTCCAACTGACACCCCAACCTACAGCACCTCAGACACCCTAGCTCCACTGACACCCCCTACCTACAGCACCCTCACACCCTATACACTTGACACCCCCCACCTACAGCACCCCACACCCTAGCCCACTGACACCCCCCACCTACAGCACCTCAGACACCCTAGCCCACTGACACCCCCTACCTACAGCACCTCAGACACCCTAGCCCAGACATCACCGACACAGCACCTCAGCCCACTCCTAGCCCACACCCCCCAGCATACCTACTAGACATCACCAACTCCTACAGCACCTCACCTATACACCCTAGCCCACTGGAGCACCCCCTACCTACACCCACCCCTAGCCCACTGACACCCCCACCCCTGCTACACGCCACCCCAGCCCACTGACACCCCCTACCTACCTACACACTGGCCAGACACCTTTAACACCCTAGCCCACTGACACTCCCAACCTACAGCACCCCAGACACCTTTAACACCCTAGCTACTGACACCCCCTACCTACAGCACCCAGACACCTTTAACACCCTAGCCACGGACACCCCCTACCTACAGCACCCCAGACACCTTTAACACCCTAGCCACTGACACCCCCTACCTACAGCACCCGACACCTTTAACACCCTAGCCACTGACACCCCCTACCTACAGCACCCTAGACACCTTTAACGCCCTAACCACGGACACCCCCTACCTACAGCACCTCCCACACCCTAGTCCAGCTGACACCCCTACCTACAGCACCCTAGACACCTTAGCCACTAACAGCCCATACTTACAGCACCTTATACACCCAAGACATCCTAGCCCACTGCGACACCTACATCCAGACACCTAGAACACCCTAGCCCATTGAGACACCCCACCTGCAACACCCCAGACACCTATGACACCTTTCTGCAGAGGTGGGTGAGGGAGATGAAGCAATCCTTAGAGAGGTCACAGAGAGATTTCATCACTGTCATCATACAGTCTTTGAAATTTTCTCTTTACCATTGGCGATAGATGCAGTCATCATTTATGCTGTTCTGGCAAGGAATATGTCTGTGCCACTGGCACTTGACCTTGAATTTGCATTTGACCTTGCACCTGACCTTGGTGTTTTTTTCGTCTGCTCTATGCGAATGTTATCAAGCTTCTCCAGTAGCTTGCGGACATGTTGCATTCGGTGGATTGCCATGTGGAGATCTTTCTGGGGACCATATGCCGAACCCTCGTGGGCGTTGGCTGCAAATCAGAGGTGAAATATAATATCAAGGATATATATATATGATCCAAACAAACTACTTTGTTTCAGTATGGATAGAATACATAATCTTAAGCAAAATAATAATGCTGAAGGGAAAAGTGAAAAGAACCAGCCGAGAGAAGATAATTGTCTCCATGGGAGAGAGCAAGAGAGGAAAGGACATACAGAAAGAAGGGCCTCAATGGAGTAAAAAGAAATGGCCTCCATGGGGAAAACCTGGCCTTCACGCAGAAAAAAAAAATGGTCTGTGGAAATAGGAGAATATGGCCTCCACACAGCAAGTCGAAAAGGCATCTTTAGAGGGAAAAAATGGGCACCATGGACAAAATAGAAATAGCCTCACTTGTATAAACAGGTGAGGTGAGGTGAGGTGAGGTGAGGTGAGGTGAGGTGAGGTGAGGTGAAATTGGGTTGAATGTTGTGCTCGAGAATATTTCGCTCATATGACGACGTGCATGCGTGTGTATGTGTGGCTGCTTGTACTAGCCCAGACTGAAGCTGGTTGTGCTAGCCCACTGAGATACCATGCCGCAGTGAAGCATGAATACCCCACTCAGACACATTATACTGACTCCAAGCCGACCAGTCCTTGTTGTACCCATTAATGCCGAGCGCCAGGCAGGGACCAACAAGTACCATATTTTAACGTCTTTTGGTATGCCGCGGTCGGGGATTGAACCCGCGACCTTCTGCTCTCCGGGTGGACCCTCTAACCACTACACCACAGAGTTGTATAAACAGAATTAACCACATTTGAGAACAGACAATAACAACATTTAACACTCTGTACATTAAGATACCCAACACAAGGCAATTGTGCATACATTAATTTGAAGTCTCTTTGCCCATAAAGGATGTCCTCTCAAAAACATTACAGTTCACAATAACTTCAGACCAAAGTCTTGCAATTTCTGGGAACAGGTAACCCATGGTTACAGAAAACTCAGTGAATTACCATTGGAGTACTGTGTGAGATAGTTGAGCTGTAGCGTCATTCCATTGTCTATTCCCTGCAGAGTCTTCAGGAAGTTGGTGGTGTGGCTTGTGACGCTGTTAGGAACTGGCTTGTCCTTGGCAAGTTCTTGTAGAGCTAAACCTGCACAATATACAGTAATACAGACCATAGAATGTCTTAAATCATCCACTGTATATCCAAGACTCACATTCTGGTAAACCTACACTAATCCCTGGATCCAATCCTATAGTCTTGTGATAAATAATCCCTCCAACCCTTGATTTTCATTTGAAATTTTACTGACCAATAAATCATTGACATAAAGAAAGGATAAGGGAGGTAACTCACATTACCTAAAACCAAAATTACCACCAGTTTTAATGGACATGAAAACATCCCTTCCACCAGAAGAGTTTTGAAGGGTTTCTTTTGCCAGTTAGTTTCTCAAAATGGAATTAGACAGTAACTTAATCATAATCAGTACTAGTCAGTCTGGTTTGTTACTTGATTGGGTTGTCGGACCTTGTACCACGGTCAATGGAACTGGCACATGGAAATCAAGGGAGGTAATTTGAGATAACCGCTAGCACAGATCCAGGTGTCACTGCAGGTATTGAAGTAGTCTGTCGTGACAGACCCTGAAGCAAATATATCCAAGAAAGCCCACACAAGTCTAGAAAATGTGGCAAGTCTAGATTTCCTCAGCTTCTGAAAATGAAGAAAGTCTCAGGGCTCCTTTTCATTATATTTTATATTGAGAATGGCCTCATATGAAACACTGTTATGCAAGGAATCATATCTCTATTCTATTGGGGTGATGGAGTAGTTTTGTGGTTAATAAATTAAGCTCGTCACACTGAAGACCAGGGTTCGATTCCCCACATGGGTACAATATGTGAACCCCATTTCTGGTGTCCCCTGCCATGATATTGCTGGAATATTGCTAAAGCAGCGTAAAACCATGCTCACTCACTCACTCACTCAGTGACTTGCATGTTAGTGTCATACACCATTAGCTTAGGTCATTGGTCACACTATCAACCACTGGGTAGCCAGGTCCAGACTCGAGGCTGCCATCATGTAGCTAGTGAAACCAGCTCTAGCTTTCAGCCAAACACAAAGCTATACAAGCATACAATATTTCACAGTGAGAAAATATATATACAAACATTCAAGTATAATACCAGTGTAGGAAAGATGTAGAAAATATAGCCTGTCCACAGGACTGGCAGGTCAATTTTTACCAGTCCTGCCAAAATCTAGCCTGTCCTCCAAATATAAATAAAACACCTTCGGCAGTAAATATTCAAAAGGTTATAATCATTATAAATATGTCAGTGGTTTACTAAAATTGACCCGACATGAGGACGGACTAGATAATTTTTTAACCCGTCCTTCACAAAATTCACCCGTCTCGGACGTTGGGACGGGCTATTTTCCTACACTGATAATACCATTTTCTGTCTTATTGTACACATTGCTCAATCTACATTAGTTATGATTTAACTGCTGAATGTTCTGGTGGATATTTTCTTTCTTCCCCTTGTATATGAAATGTTTCCCTGCATGAGAAGCCATGCATTTACATGTAACAGATCACAATAACGTACATCAGCAAACTCTCCTCATTACTGTTATAAAGTATAATCACTCTTCTACTCAACACATTGAGTATGTGTCAACTGCATAAAATAAACAAGGATGGGACTGAAGTAAAGTATAAATATTGACATAAGCTTGCAAAATATTGGCTAACTTATAGTAACTAGAGTCAAACTTGAAATTACCATGGACACATATTTATTATCTAAGCCTGTAAAAATTCTGATATTTGCACAAAATTTACAAACAAATGTCATTAAAAATAGTAAATGAGATATTAAAGTTATAACACACATATAATGAATCAAGTTGATCTGTGACTCACTGATAACAAAACCAGTAAACATGATGTGGCATCATTGTATTGAATATTTCTATATCTAAGAATATCATAAAAATTTCACAATTCGTCTGTCAAGGGCACTTGGTTTGGAATCCTACATAAATTCAGCTGAAATAACAATTGTCAAATGTTCACGTATGTTTGGAATGTATATCAGTCATGCAATAGTGGTTATTTGCATGAATTTCAGTTGACAAATTTCGGTCAAATCAAGAGGTCCTAGTTAATTAACAGAATAATATCTTCACTTTTGAAACTTGCAATAATATTGGATTCAGACCACAGTTATCTGTGTTTTTCTCATAACAGGGCCTGTAAGTAGGTCACGGCACTTCACGAGACAATACCTTGTTTAGGACTTCGGTGACAAACGATTTGCGGCAATGGCGATAGCACTGTTACAAGTGACATGCCCCGGATAATCATACTCGACACACTCTTGTGTGGCTCATAAAACGGTGACGTGTAACAGACTACAAAATCACTTGTATAGGTTGCATGAATAAAGTTTTACATCTATTTCATTTCTTTTTTTTGTATTAAAAGGCTGGTATACTTTAATCCTGGCACGTACAGTAAGCCAGGAGTTGGCACGTGTGCAGATCAGTGAACCATATATAGCAATGTAAAGTTCTGTGGAACCTCACAAAAATATTTTTTTGGACCAAAGGAGATGGGTGAGGTGAGGTGAAATTGGGTTTACTTATTTTCGCGTGCAACATTGATTTATGTTAATAGCTCTTAATAGGGGTCTCTCACAAATGCTTTCTGTAATATGAGCTTGATTATTACAACTAAGGCTGCTCAATATAACCGGTTTACCGGTATTTACCGGTTCAGACGTGAAAACGATACATACTGCGATACGCTGATCAAAACCGGTATTTTGACTTGCATTCGGAAAACTTTGTAACACTCGGAAATCTTCGGATATTTCCTTGTTTCGTTTGTGCCAAATATTATTCACATTTACATTTTATCATGATTAAAACTTGTTATTAAAGCTTAATCAAGCATAGTGATTTTGTTGTGTTTTTGCTCTATAAATCAATTATAAGTAGTTTTTTGTTTAAAAATACTCCATGCAATATATTGCAATACATATCGCAATACATGCTTTCGCATCGCAATATATGGCAATATGAAAATTCTCTGCAATACCCACCCCTAATTACAACCCCATTTTGCATTTGTTTATTGTGTAGCATGTTCAGTTAAACATAACATCCACATGCTTATTTATCAATAATATATTGATGTCAGCATTGCAAGGATTGTTTACATTTTAGAACTATAGTCTATATCATACTTGGTCTCACATGTTATGTATTTCTTTCAGTTGGAACAGTTGCACATCTTTAAGAGGAGAAAGGAGGAATAGATTTCTGTATCACCACAATTACCATTGACATCGAGAACAATACAAACTGAACCACATTCAGATTTCTTTCAACATCTGGTGATCAAGCAATACATTGCCAATGAAGAAACAGCAAGTGTTATACTGACTGACTGACTGAGTTTGGTTTTACGCTACTTTTAGCAATATTTCAGAAACATCACGGCAGGGGACACCAGAAATGGGCTTCACACATTGTGCCCATGTGGAGATTCAAACCCGGGTCTTCGGCATGACAAGACAACGCTTTAACCATTAGGCTACCCCACCGCCCCAGCAAGTGTTATAAAACATACTTAAGCCCTATACATCTTTGGACACTTGCTTGAACAGTAAATGCTTATCATCAGCAGGGTGTTGTGGAACTTCTTGGGACATCTTGGGACTCTCCGATAATTCAGTGAGAATTTAGATGAGTGACCATGAAAATATTCCAGTTCATTGTGTTTCAGTATTTTTTCAGGCTGAATTAAATTTCTGAATAGTTCTAGAAAACGTGTTTATTGTTTTTTAAGTGTGGATAAAGCAAACACAAAATAAATGGTTTGGAAGATTTCTGATTTTAGTTGTGATATTTATTTTTAGTGTATATATCAAAGGTTTCCAAGTGAATGAGTGAGTGAGTTGGGTTTTACGCCACTTTTCGCAATATTCCAGCAACATAATGACGTGAACACCAGAAATGGGCTTCACACATTGCACCCATGTGGGGATTCGAACCCGGGGCTTCAGTGTGACAAGTGAATGATTTAAACACTAGGCTACCCCACTGCACAAGTCTTCATGAAAAAACATGCTTACCAATGAAAGTTAAACTTAATAATTGGCATAGGCATGTATTTCTACATGAAATTAGTTTTTTATTGAAATATTGAATTCTTTGAATTTGCTGTAAGATTTCACATGCAATTACACTTGTTCATAGCACATTAATCAGTACACATTATTGCTTTCCATTATCTTAAAACATATTGGTCCAGCTCTATAGTTGAAAATATAGAATGTCAGTTACCAAACTTTGCCTTTTTCGCAGAATATTTGGAATATATAAGTGAAAAACACTATACATGTATAAACATTTGATGACAAGTAATCATACTCATGTTGCTGTCAGTCAGAATCTGTAGAATCTACAGTCATGACAGTATTTATACACATTTAGTTTTTTCCGAAGTATTGCTATCTTTTGCAATACAGGAAATATCTTTGAGTGATTACTTCATATTTTAGTGTATTTGGTCTTGCATTTTGGCAGCTTGTGACTTAAAGGTGTTGTGTGCTAACACTTGCTTACTGCACAGAACCTAAACCCTGCATAACCAAGAAGCAAAGAACATTCATGAACTGTACATCACAGTACATGGTTCACTGAACAACTATATACAAGACAAGAAGTACAAAGAGTAAAAGTAATATTGTGAAACAACCAGTGTTTAGTTACCACTGGACTATAATACTGCTTACATAAATTGATAAATAACTGTTTCATGATGAATATTCATATGGGTGAGGCTTTTGACATTTTTGTTCTGAATACCTGACAGTGTTCATTGGTTTCTGACATTGACTTTTTGGGTGAATAAAAAAGTCACCATAAATGGGAAAGTTTCACATATTTTTACTGTTTTATTATATTATAAGAACTGCTATTTATTCAGGATAAATTAGTTTGGGGGTCTATATGTTTACAGCTCGACAAAGAAAAACAATTGGACATGCACTGTCATACCCGTCATCTATCCAAACTAAAGTTTACAATACATTTTCTGTGAACTTTTCAATGCAACAAACAATTGTTTTCTTGTATTTGAGTCATTCTGTCACCTGAACTTGCATACAGTCATCCTTTAGATTTGGAAGAGAGTAAAATTATGTACCAAGCCTACCAAAAGTGTATATTTACAAACTATTTATGTAAATAACCCAAGTATTTATGCACATGCATTCTACATTGTATAAAGCCAATTGTCTCCATCAATTATATTTATTAAATAGTTGCTAACAAATATAAATATTAATATGTATAAAATAGTTTTAAATTTTGAATAGTTACTGAAAATATCGTTGCAGCATAATACTGTATGTAGAAAATAAATAACAAATTAAACAAACATATGCTAATTTGAATGCTTTTATTACATGCTTTAATTGAAAATGGAAATGACAGAGTCAACATGGTCAATGTGGCCAAAATGAAAAGAAGATCAACTTGATAAAGTTGGTAACATATGCAGTGTATTGATTAATTGTTTTATGAATTCAATAAATACAATTTACTCAGATGCATTTCACGTTAACCATATCACTAATTTTCCCCAAATATATTTTTGACAACTCTGTCTGGTGTACTGAAAAGAAACCGGTTTGGCGATAGAACTGCACTGGTTATCAAAATACATTATAGGTAAAGAAAAGTACTCATACTTTTTTTTGAATTGTCTCATAGTTGTCAGTAACGTCTAGTAAAGTAATATTTGGCGGCCGTGCAGTTTGGAAGCAGAACTGGTTTATGAGAATTCGAGAAATCTGGTAACGGAAGTAGCACAGAGTTACGGGCCCTCTGGGAAAGTACTGCTCTAGTGTCAAGTGTCATAAAGAGAGAGACACAGAGAGAGAGAGAGAGAGAGAGAGACAGAGAGAGAGAGAGAGAGAGAGAGAGAGAGAGACAGAGAGAGAGAGAGAGAGAGAGAGAGAGACAGAGACAGAGACAGAGAGAGAGAGAGAGAGAGACAGAGAGAGAGAGACAGAGAGAGAGACAGACAGACAGAGAGAGAGAGAGAGAGAGAGAGAGAGAGAGAGACAGAGAGAGAGAGAGAGAGAGAGAGAGAGACAGAGACAGAGAGAGAGAGACAGAGAGAGAGAGACAGAGAGAGACAGAGACAGAGAGAGAGAGAGAGACCTGGCTGTCCCTTTCTCTGCACTCCTCCCTTGTAACAAATAGTGAAGTGTGTCAAAATTTTAATGATAGTTTCTTAAAGAACTTTTTTGGTGGAGTCCGGAAAATTTTTAAATATAAGAAAGCTGTTGGGTATTAGTAAATGATAAACATGTGTACTATTTATATTTATGTGGCAATTTTGTACAATGATAAAATTTGCAATTCATCGGTCCGTTTCTGACTCAAACGGACTGTAGGCTACGCCCACTGAAGCATTAAGAAACAATTATACAACAAGGTATTACTTTGCGGATTCCAATTTCATTATATATTTTCCTCTCAGTACAAATCCTTCAACAGTGCATCTCTGCAATAACTGACTGTTTACTTATCATGTAGAGGTATACAAATACTTTTCAGTGAGTGAGTGAGTGAGTAGTTGGGTTTTACACCACTTTTAGCAATGTTCCAGCAATATCATGGCGGAGGATACCAGAAATGGGCTTCACACATTATGCCCATGCGGAGAATTGAACCCGGGCCTTCGGTGTGATGAGTGAACACTTTTACCACGAGGCTACCCCACCGTCCCACTTTTCATTGAAACTATGGCTGTGAAATAATATCTGTGATCTAAAGGCATGTGTCGTCGTCAGTGCAGAAATAAGATTTATTGAGGTATTGACACTGTAGATAACAAAGCTGGGCATGAACTGTGGTGTGAGGCCTATCTGAAGTAAATTTAGTGTGGCGTATTTAAAACAGTACAATGCCGCCGGTAATTCCACACATCTAAGCACATCGATCGCAACACGGCAACTAATGTCTCTTATTTTTTTGTGGTTTACGTGACTAAACATGCTGGCTTGCTGTCCGGTAATTCTGCGCAGCAACTGATGCGCATAACATCCAGCTGGAGATCCGAAGTATGGAAGCTTATTTGGGACAGATTATTTTCAAAAATCACTTCATCAATGTAAGGAAGAGTGTTTCATATTAAATCCAATTATGAATAATGAAGAAAAAGGTTTAAAAGTCTGAAGAAAACGAATTTTCATAAAACTGTCAATTTATCTGTCAATTACTGTTATTTACTTACCTTTAGTGATTAAAAACCAGTCCCTTGTAGAAATGTCCCGATTTCAAGCGTAAGTGTGGTAGCAGACGATGTTTACCTTTGATACGGAAGTACGCTATTGCCGGAAGCGCGGAATTACCGGACTCGCTTGTATTCACTCGTTTTAACATTTTATTTTTGAAAGAATAGCTTTTCTCCTTTTCACTGTGACTGACAGACAATCATGCCACTAAACATGCTGAACCCTGAGACAGAAAGGAACTGTTGTTTCTTCACTGAAAACTGCTTCCAAATAATATTAAGCGACATTACAAACTTTCCTCTGTGAACTTTTTATGGAGGCATAGTTTGGTTGCTGGGTGACTTCCAAATGTGACTTCATGTAATTGTAAAAGTAATTTCAACACTCTTAACTCATAGGATACAAACAGACAATATCCTTGTTCTACAAACCGGCATTTTGTATACAGAAACCGATGTCATGCTCTATTTTCTCCAGCTGCATGAGACGGTCACGAGGTCCTGTCGCCATACTTCTTCCTTGTTTGCCAGAAATGAAAACGTTGTCGTAAAGCCGGATGTACAGTGTGAGCAGGGCATTTCAGAATCCTTGTTCCGACCCAATACGAACTCTGTATCTGGGGCCCATGCATACAACAACATTTTTAGTGGCGTTTTACACCATTATTTATGTTGCTTTATTGTTTGAGAGTTTGTTATACTTTTAAAGTTTTAATAACTTTCAATTGACCATTGTTGGCTCACGAATCCGGCGACTACATTTACGCAAAGTAGGAACCAAAAAAGAACCCCAACAACAATAAAATAAGATGTCAAAATAGAGTATGTGTTTCAAATGAAGCCGACAGGAGTAAATAAAAGGATAATGTCACCTAAAATATAATTTTCACTTTTATTTTGTCGGAGGCTATAGTACCAATTACAAAACTAGTTTCCACATTCTAACCCAGATCTGAATTTACACGGGTATAACTTTACACAGAACAAAAAAAAATCTTTGAAACACAGAAATAAGAGAGGAAAACCTGACCTGAAGCTTCTTTGCACTTTGCATTTCTACGTAATTTAGCCAAATCTCAGTTGATATATGTTGTAAATGAACATATATGTGGAGATCTTTGTAGGATTCTTGTAATGTAGTTATAAAAGTTTCATATTTTGTAGATGGGCAACTATGGCACATCGCGACATTAGCTATCACTAATTTCCATTTAGGTGAGTGAGTGAGTTTAGTTTAGCATTCACCAATATTCCAGCCATATGGCGATGGTCTGTAAATACTCGAGTCTTGACCAGACAATCCAGTGATCAACAGCATGAGCATCGACCTACGATGACGTGTGTCGACCAAGTCAGCGAGCCTGACTAGCCGATCCCGTTTCGCCGATGCTTGCGTTCCAGGTGGACAGATTCGGCCGGGACAGTGTTATGATGTGGGGAGCGATCACCTGCCGTAGGAGAAGTGATTTGGTGATGATCCAGGGCAACCTGACAGCTCAGGTACTGTGACGAAATCCTACGCCCACACCTCCTTCCAATCATTGATCGCCAGAGGGAGTTGTTTCAACAGGACAATGCCAGGCCCCACACAGCACGTCACACTAGAGACTTCCTCCAGAACCACAACATCAATGTGCTCCCCTGGCCCTCAAGATCACCGGACTTAAACCCGATCGAACATCTGTGGGATGCCCTGGACAGACGGGTGCGACGCCGTAACCCTCAGCCCCAGACACTTCAGCAACTCGCACAGGCACTACAGGCAGAGTGGGCTGCGATTGGGCAACACGAGATTCTGAGACTTATTCGTTCGATGCCGAGGCGATGCATTGCAGTTCTGGATGCCCACGGTGGTCACACGAGGTATTGACTTCAGCGCCACCACACGTCTCTATGTGACACTCAAACTGACTTTCCTCGAGTTGGTGCCAAAGACGGATACGTCTGCATTCCCAGTGTGCAATTTCGCTATATTTCATTGACTCATAAAGCCTACAAGATGTTTCAAAATAAACATAAAAATACAGTTGAAATTCCTATATGCGTTTCATTTTGGGGAGAGTATAGATTCCAATCGCTATTATTGGTTTGTATTACAAGGGGGTAAGCGCAGTAGTTGGAACACTGAAACAAATGCACGTGCGGTACGTGATGAGCGTTAACTTAGACCAACCTTACTTGTTCTCGGTGTTTCATTTAATGTACATACACCCTTGTAATACAAACCAATAATGACGATTTTAAACTATGATCGTTTGGTAAACAACTTCTATCCTAGGTTTAATAAAATTCTGATATTTAAATGTTCAGTTGGCAAGTAAAATTATGAGGATTCGCAATCTTAATTTCACTTTATTCGATTTACCTTCTTGTTTAAAGTGAAATTCATCTGTACGTTTTCACTGCAAACAGACTATAACTCTATTATAGATTTCTCATCCCGGGTAAAAAACCTTGGTGTCTTTTTTGACTCCGAGTTGTCCATGGATTATCAAGTTGACAATCTGTGCAAGACCTGTTTTTATCATCTCAGATGTATCAGTCAAATTCGTCATCTGATATCACTTGATGCAGCCAAGACGTTAGTACAGTGTTTGTTACTCTCGAGGTTGGACTATGCGAACAGTTTTCTTCTAGGCATCAGCAAAGAATCACTGAGGAGACTTAAAAAAGTCCAAAATGTAGCGGCAAGAATCGTTACACGTGCCCAAAGTACTCTCACATAACGCCGATACTGAAGTCATTACCCTGGCTTCCGGTTGAGGCGAGGATAGTGTTTAAAGTACTCTGTTTCACATTCAAGAGTCTAAAAGGCATGTCACCAGAATATCTAAGTGAACTGCTACCCCCCTACACACCATCCAGACAACTGCGATCTGAAAGCAGATTCTTTTTGAAAACTCCTTCTTATAGACTGTTTTCTTATGTAAAGCGTTCTTTCAGTGTTTGTGCTCCATCGCTGTGGAATGAACTGCCCCTCGCCTTAAAACTGTCCCCATCTTTTGCTGCGTTCAAATCACATCTTAAAACGCATCTCTTTTCACTGCACTATTAACTCTATTCAAACATTATTATTATTTTGTAGCGCTTTGAGCACCCACATAGTGGTTGGATTTAGCACTATATAAATTTCAAGTATTATTATGTTCTACAGATTACAGATAATATGCAGCAGAGAGGGTTCGGGTGATCCTGGCACAGTCAGGCTGGTAAGGCTCATCATCAGCTCAGGGCCCTTACCCCTCTACACGCAGCCCAGACAGCGAATGGAATTTCTCCCAGGAAACACTGCCTAGCCGAACCCACCAAGAACTTTCCGGAGAATATGTAGACTCCCCAACACTGCAGCCTTCTGCATTACCCAGATTGTCAGAAGGGCTGTGCTCCCGGTGGAGAACCCGGGAACTCTTCCGATCTGCTCCAATAGATCAGGAGGTACCAAAACAAAGGGCACCGAGAACAATGGGGAGCCTGACGACAGTGTACTTGGGATGCAAGCGAGACATTTCAAAGGCGAGGTCTCCATATTTATCATGCTTTTCCTGAATCTTGCCAATCACATTGCTGTAAAAAGGGATTCTTCTGAGGCTGTATATGGGCCTATTCCAGAGAAGTTTGAAAGCATCATTTTCCATGACATGTTTAGGGTCGTACCATGGATGGACCTCGGCGTCAAAGACACAGACATGGCGGAGCCATCATGTCGTTTAAGAAATGCTGTTTGTGCCAAAGAAGGGCATCCACTGACAAGGTGTTGGACAGTCTCTGTAAATTCATTACATAGTCAACATTTCATGTTAATATTCTCTTTAAGAATCACATTTAGGCGATTACGAGTGGGAAGTGACTGGTCCCGGGCAGCAAAAAAGGAAGCCCTCAGTTTCACATTTAAGACCAGCCGACTTCATCCAGGCGAAGGAGTCGGTAGGATTGCTATTCTGTTCCACACACTGCATGTACACATGATGCAATGGCTTCTCAGAAAGCTTCTCCACAAATGACTGACTCTGGGCAGACTTGGTGAAGGACTTCACCTGGTTTACTCCCATCGCTGTACCGTCCAGCATTACATTGCCATCAGCGAAATCAACCTCAAATTTCAGATTCTGTCCAACAACCCTGGCACGCTTAAAATAGCTATGGAATTCCTTGCTTTCATCATGAGTCTTGACATGCATCACCAGAGCATCATCCGCTAAATAAATATGTGCAAAAGTACACAAAAGAATTCTATCATGAAGAGCCTCCACATTAATCAAACCCCGACCTCCAGAATTGATTGGCATATATAAACGATTGAGAGAGGAACGAGGCTGGTGGGCTCTGTTATCAGACATGATCCTTTTGGTCAGGCGGTCAAGACTCTGGATGTCTTGTTTTGTCCAATCAACTACTCCAAAGGAATACTGCAGAGGACTGGCACAGCAAAAATATTGGTGGCTTTGATCTTGATTCGAGCATTTAGCTCTGAGCTCCAGATTTTTCTTTAGGCGAGAACTGTACTCGACCCGAAGTTTTTCTTGAATTTGGGCACTCTTGTCTCGAACTTGCATTCCAAGATAGGTGTAGGCCTGATCTTCCACAAGATGCTCAATAACTTCTCTCCCCTGTAACTTGACCGATCCAACATTAACTATCTTGACACGTTTCAAATGAAGAGTATTACATTTGTCGAGTCCAAACGTCATGACAATATCATTAGAAAAGGACTCGACAAGGAGAACCTGTTCTTTCAAATTGGTATCTCCATTGGCAAGAAGCTCGATGTTATCCATGTAAAGGAGATGAGTAAGCGGTGTTGGGGATCTGTGCTGAGGAGGTCCGGGATGGTAACATTCCTCCCTATTGAGCAGAAAGCTCAAAGGATTTAGAGACAGACAAAAAGGCAAAGGACTGAAGGAATCCCCCTGAAATATTCCCCTTCTGATTGGAATCGATTCCGAAGTCTGCACCTGCCTTTGCGAGTACATCTCAAGTTGAGTCGACCAGCAACTCATTAAAAGACTTGAGGAAATCAGTTAGTCGCTTCGGGAGGTCAATACAACGAAGAGACTTCAGAATCCATTCGTGAGGGACAGAGTCGTATGCTTTCTTGTAGTCAATCCAGCACATGGAGAGGTTGCGGTGGTATGTTTTAGCCTCTTCCAAAATCATTTTCTGTACAAGAAGTTGATCCTTGCACCCCACTCATCCCTTTCTTTCCCCCTTCTGCTCTCTGTAAATTATGTCATTAGAAGAGCAGTAAGATGACATAAGGTTTGTCAAACACCCTGTGAATATTTTGTATTGTACATTCAAACATGTGATGGGGCGGAAGTTTTTGGGATCAGTCAAGTCTCCTTTCTTGGGGAGAAGTATTGTGCGGCCATTGCAGAACCATGGAGGAACATCACCTGTGTCCACAAGAGAGTTGAAACAGTGTAGTAATTGTGTTTGGACATAGGGGGGGCAGTTTCCAATACCGGTTTCGTATTCCATCAGGCCCTGGAGCTGTATTAGATTTGGACTTTTTGATCACACTTTTCAGGCAATCTGGTGAG